CTTTGGGAGGCCAAGGCAGGAGGATCACTTGAGCCCAAGCGTTCAAGACCAGCCTGGGCAACATAGGGAGACCCCATCTCTATAATAACAACAAAAATTAGTCAGTCACGGTGGTGTTCACCTGTATTCCTAGCTACTCAGGAGGCTGAAGCAGGAGGATTGCTTAAGCCCAAGAGTTCAAGGGTACAGTAAGCTATGATCATGCTACCCCAGCCTGGGTGAGAGAATGAGACTCTGTCTCTGAAAAAAAGAAAAGAAAAGAAAGCCTAGTCTTGGCCATCCAGAATTTCCCATTTCAAGGTATTTATTAATATATCATTCAACAAGAATCAGCACAAATATAGTATACTATATATTTTCATAATTTATTTTGGCATTCACTATAATTGCATTTCTTTTCTTTTTTTTTTTTTTTTTTTTTTTTTTTTTGAGACGGAGTCTGGCTCTGTCGCCCAGGCTGGAGTGCAGTGGCACGATCTTGGCTCGTTGTAACCTCTGCCTCCTGGGTTCAAGCAATTCTCCTGCCTCAGCCTCCTGAGTAGCTGGGATTACAGGTGCCCGCCACCATGCCCAGGTAATTTTTTTGTATTTTTAGTAGAGACGGGGTTTCACCATATTGGCCAAGCTGGTCTTGAACTCCTGACCTTGTGATCCGCCCGCCTTGGCCTCCCAAAGTGCTAGGATTACAAACATGAGCCACTGCGTCCAGCCTGTAATTGCCATTTCTTTTCTTTTTGTTTTTTTTTTTTTTTTTTGAGACAAAGTCTGGCTCTGTCGCCTACGCTAGAGTGCAGTGGCGCAATCTCGGCTCACTGTAAACTCCACCTCCCAGGTTCATGCCATTCTCCTGCCTCAGTCTCCCGAGCAGCTGGAACTGCGGGCGCCCGCCACCACACCCGGCTAATTTTTTTTATTTTAGTAGAGACGTGTTAGCCAGGATGGTCTCGATCTCCTGACCTTGTGATCCGCCCACCTTGGCCTCCTGAAGTGCTGGGATTACAGGCGTGAGCCACCGTGCCCGGCCTGTAAGTGCCATTTCTAATTCTTTTCTTCCTCTGACTACAGCTGTGTTTTCTCCCCAGTACTTCAACGAGACTCTTGTGAAGTTCACCAATAACCCTCAGTTACTAAATCTAGTAGTCAATATCTAGCCCCCACCTTCCTCATATCAGTAAAATGGGTGGTTCTGTCTTTCTTTGACACACCAGAATACAGCGCTTTTCCACTTCTACTGCACTTGGCTGCTCCTTCTGAGGCGCCTTTATTTGTTTTTTGTTCCTTGACCTCCTAAGATTTAGACCTAGCTCTGCTTCTTTGAGTACACTCACTTTTTAGGGATCTCATTTAGTCCCATGTTATTTATTTATTCATTTATTTGAGACAAGGTTTTACTCTGTTGCCAGACTGGAGTGCAATGTCACCATCTCAGCTCTCTGCAACCTCTGCATCCCGAACTCGAAGGATCCTCCTGCCTTAGCTTCCCAAGTAGCTGGGACTACAGCCAAGTACCACCGTGCCTGGCTAATTTTTTAAATTTTTTTATAGAGATAAGGTTTTGCCATGTTACCCAGGCTGCTCTTGAACTCCCGGACTCAAGTGATCTGCCAGCCTTGACTTCCCAAGGTGCTTTGACTATAGGCGTGAGTCACTGCACCAAGCTAAGTGCCATGACTTTAAAAGCCATTTCTATTCTGACAACTTCTAAATGTATTTCTAACCTTTACTTTGAACTGCAGACTCAGAATAAGCTTCTCGGACATGGTATGACTGAAATTAATTTTTAAAATTTTCCCCCAAAACCCACTCCTTCCACAATTCTCCCCATTTCAGTTAGTGAGAACTCTCTCTATCCTATGGCTTAGGCCAAAATTTCAATGCCATCCTTGATTCCTCTTTTTCTCTCATATTCAGTCCATCAGCAAATCCCTTCTGCTCCACCATCAAGTTACATCTAGAATATGACCACTTTTCACACCTCACTGCTCCTTTCCTGGACCAAAAAAGGTTATATGATATGGTGAATCAGAGCATGCATCCTGTGTAGTGGCACAAGGCCCCACACTCAAAAGGGCTCTGCACTTACTTTAACGCTCTGCTGTTATCACCTTGAAATTCTTTTTTTCTTTTTTTCTTTTGAGACGGAGTCTCGCTCTGTTGCCCAGGCTGGAGTGCAGTGGCGCCATCTTGGCTCACTGCAAGCTCTGCCTCTTGGGTTCACGCCATTCTTCTGCCTCAGCATCCCAAGTAGCTGGGACTACAGGTGCCTGCCACCACGCCCGGCTAATTTTTTGTATTTTTAGTAGAGACGGGGTTTCACCATGTTAGCCAGGATGGTCTCGATCTCCCGACCTCGTAATCTGCCCACTTGGCCTACCAAAGTGCTGGGATTACAGGCGTGAGCCACTGCGCCCGGCCATCACCTTGAAATTCTTAATTTTTGAGCAAGGGGCTCTGTATGTTTATTTTGCACTGAGCCCTAAAAATTATATAGATAGTCTGTTGTCAATGCAGATCCCTGGTATTTAGCAGCATCAATTAAGAGGAAAAAAGTAAACCTTGTAATTACTGCAGCAGAACAACAAATATATAATGATTAAATGTGAAAAGAATGTGAAAATAAAACTTAGAGTCTTGTTTTCTATAAAAATAGTGCTGATTCTCACGGGGAAGACAATGGAAAAGATTTACTTGAGAGAGAAAGAGAACAGCTCCATCGGCCAGAAGAACTGGCATTTGAGAATTTAATCCCTAAGGAGAGATCAGACAAAGAAAACTACATCTAATTCCCCAGAGTATAGGCTGTAGTCAAGGTGTAAGAAATGAGATCACAAAGGAGTAAAAAAAATAGAGAAAGTGGGGGAAAGGAGAGGCTTTGGGTCATAACTGAGGGCTGGAACCAGGTTATTTTACTACATTCTATCTTTTCGTTTGAAAGTCTTATCCCTGGACTAGGGAGTTTCTTTGGAAGAAGAGTTGTAAGAACCAAACCTGGTTTCAGGATTCGAGTAGTGGTATCTCAGAGGTAATCTAGTCCAACTTTCATACTTTGGAGCTGAGAAACCAATGTTCCAGAAAGCTAAGACAATGATTCTAGGTTCCCTTTTTAAAATGTATTGAAATGTGTTATCTAAAAATTTAAAAATAAAAGTATCTATGGTATTTTGTGAAGACAGAGGCCTTGGTTTGGAGTAGATACTGTCACATGACTTCTCACCTCGACTCTTTTACTGTAAAAGAGGAGGATAATAATACCTTCCAGGGAACATTCTTCCCCCTTCTCCATTGTGGTAGGAATTAATCACTGCCCAAGACTCCTGGTTGAGGGCCTGAGTGAAGTGCAGGCGGTCTCCAGCCTGGAGCTACCCCGTTTGTAGGGCTACCCCGTTTGTAGGGAGGAATGCCTTTCTATGTTTCTAACTTACTTAAAGCCTGCATCCTTGTAAAGCAGTGTTCTCAATGTGAGCGATCATATTCACGAAGTGCCTGGCAGAAAGTAAGCACTCAATAAAGAGGGATGTAATTTTTATGAACTGTGCACTGAACATTTATTATAAGCTCATTAAGTTTGTAACAAACACGAAAGGCCAAACCTAGAACTTATTGGTAATTCTCATAGAAAGGACACACCTATGCCCAATTCTTAATTTCTCTTTCTTTCCTTCCTTCCTTCCTTCCCTTCTCTCTCTCTCTCTCTCTCTCTCTCTCTCTCTCTCTCTCTCTCTCTCACCCAGACTGGAGTGCAGTGGCGCAATCTCAGCTCACTGCCACAACCCCCTGCTGGGTTCAAGCGATTCTCCTGTCTCAGCCTCCCGAGTAGCTGGGATTACAGGTGGTGTCCGCCACCACGTCTGGCTAATTTTTCGTATTTTTAGTAGAGATGGGGTTTCACCATGTGAGCCAGGCTGGTCTCAAACTCTTGACCTCAAGGGATCCACCTGCCCCGGCCTCCCAAAATGCTGGGATTACAGGCGTGAGCCACCGCCCCTGGCCTGCCCAACACTTTCAACATTGCTCTGGATATTACTGTCAAATTCTTGGAAACTGCTGTGATACTAAGATAAACAGATATTTATAACCGATACAAAGTACTACTGCAAGAGTTATTTATGGGTCCTGCACAATGCTGGGGGCAGGGTGGTGGGTACAGAGAAACAAACGTCACTGTAACTATCAAGTTACAAAATCCCTTCAGTAGGAAAACAATGAACTTCCTTAAGATTTACTTTATTTATTTATTTTTTTAACTGTAGTTTAAAGTTTACACTACCGTTTCTTCCTTACCAGGGGAGAATTTTGTGACTTTTACTGTTGGACTATTTTCTTTTTACGGAAAGTCTAAACTAGCATCTAGCTCGTCCTGATTAGAGTCAGGCATCGCCAAGGCTTGGGTTGGCATCTCCCAGATCCCGCTCCCAACCGCGGCCACAGCAGATCTGGAGGACCGGGAGAGGACGCGAGGAGGAAAAGCCCTGCTCTGCGAGCTGAGAGCCGGACTCTGCCCACATTGCCAATGGAACCATGTCTTCAAGCCGGAAACTCAGCTGGACCTCTCGCAGCCCTCTCTGCGAAGGGGACACAGGGGTTATTTTCTCCCATGCTGTCCACACCCAGAAAAGCTTGTCTCTCGGGGCTACTGCGCTGAGCCCCGACTGGTCAGGTCAGAGATAACCCCACCCGGGTTAGCTCTGCACTCTCGCTTTACGGTTAACAGCCCGGAGAGCTTTTAAAAAATCCCGGCGCCCACTGCCACCTGGGACCAACGTAAGCAGGCTCCCCAGAAAAGGGGCCCAGGCCTGGGTATTTTTTAAGGTTCCCTCGTGAACCAGGACCAAGGCCCTTGTGAGGGCGCCGCGGAGACCACGTGGGCATAGAGGCCGCGCCCCCGTTTCCCGGCCGGCGCGCCCCACCCCGGTTCCCCGCCACCAACCCCGCCCCCGCCCCACCCCCTGCGCGTCCCGCCCCTCCCGTGCGCCGCTGACGCTCCGTGCTTCGGCGCAGGCGCACAGGGACGGTCGCTGGCCCAGGTGAGCGGGCGCGGTGGTCCAGGTGAGCGGGCGCGTCCCCGCGACGGCGCTGCCTCCCCGAGGCGGTTCACGTAAAGCCAACGAGGCCCTGCCGGCCAGCCGGGAAGGAGGCGTGGATATGGAGCTGGCGGCAAAGCACGGGGACCGCGCCGCCGCCTAGCGCGTCCCGGGGGCTCTGTGGGGACGCGCCCCCCGCCGCAGCTCGGGGACCCGTAGAGCCCCGCGCTGCGCGGATGGCCCTGCTCCCGCGCCCCGCGCTCACCCTCCTGTTCCTCCTCATGGCCGCTGTTGTCAGGTGCCAGGAGGAGGCCCAGACCACCGACTGGAGGGCCACCCTGAAGACCATCCGGAACGGCGTTCATAAGATAGACACGTACCTGAACGCCGCCTTGGACCTCCTGGGAGGCGAGGACGGTCTCTGCCAGTATAAATGCAGTGACGGTGAGGGGGCACCCGGGCCCAGCGAGGGCTCGTACTTTCGGGGGATTGGGGTGACGGAGGTCCTGGAGGTGTGAGTGACAGATGCAAGGCAGACCTTGACGGTGTCCTTCGGCTGTGGAAAAACTTAACCACTGCTAGAATCTTGCGGTTCTTGTGATTGAGCAAGCTGGGTACAAGTTCACACCACTATTGTTAGAATGTGAGAGGTCACCTGAGTGTACTGTCCGTTCCATTTGCGTTGCTTCTGAATTACCTTTTCCCCCCTCAATTGCACCAAGTTGCCCAAGAACTTACTGACGTAGGAATCAGGGGAATGGAGTGGAACAGACTGATTTTAGCTCAGTTTTTGCTTCCGTAAATTGGATGAACATGCGAAGCAAACTGAGAATTTAAAAACCATGCCGTATTAACTTTCTCTATAATTGATATTAAATTTTTTTTTTCTGCAAACCCACAGACAATAACTTGCGACCTTTGTACAGACTTGGTGTACTCGAGTGTTGAGAAAGGGTTCCGATAACTCTCCTTTCCTTAGATATCAGTTACCCCTCTCCTCATTGTTGGTTAACGTTAATACAGTTATTTTCGTTTACTCTTTTAATATTTTTCGAACTTTCTCTTTGAACCTGAGAACTTGTTTGGTGGCAGTATGAGTACTGATCAAATCAGTATTTCAGACAGATGATTCTTTTGTAGCACATTTTTGAGTGCTTAAATATTTTAATAGGTCAGAAAAATATTGGACTTTCGTTTGGAAATTGAAAATGTTAAAATAGCACTTGGGAGATCGTGTTTCCAATAAGATTAGCTAAGGTTAGAGTCTCATTATGCTGGCAGCAGAAAATAATAGGGGATTCAGTGACTTCATTGTTGGAACCTGGTTGTAGAGGTGAACTTAAAAGGAACTGATATCATGTAAAGCTGTGATGCCACCTGCTGCCTGCAATTTTCAAGATAATTTCTAGTTTTATGTTAATAGAAGTAAAGGATGAACTGTATCTTGTGTACTTTAAAGCGCTGAACAGGTGCTGAGACATGTTTCATTGCTTCTTAAATTTGTGCCTAAATGTTGCCAGCTAAACGTATGCTTCATAAAGATGTTTTTGTTCTTGTAGAACTTGTGAGGAGGATTAAGTGCATAATTTAAGGATCAAATGGTTGCCTTTCCTGACGCAAATGTTACAGTTTTACTTAGTCATTCCTATTCATTATACAAATATTTGAGTCCCAACTGTGGGTCAGATGTTCTACTTTGAGATTCAGCAGTTAGTAAAACACAAAAATCTCTGTCTGTGGAGCTGTGAAGAGGTTTATAGTGTGTTAGGGCAAAGAAAACTATAGATAAATATATAGTTTCTCATGATACTCCTGTGAGAAAAACTGGATATGATTTGATGACTTCACTGCTGCTTAGAGAGAGGACTCATCTGTAGTGGACACCTGTCCTGATTAATATCTGCATCTTAATTTGTGAATATCTGGGAGCAACAGGCAACACTGGGTGAATAGCTCTAGATTTAAAAACTGCTGAGCAGTCGAGAATGGTGAACTGAAACAAACAAGATTGAATCTTACTATATACAATCTTATATTTAGGCTCAAAATTAAATTGCAAAGGTGCTAAGCCTCTAGCAGTAGGTATTAAAAAGTCCATTTTAGAAATAACTGATTTTTTTTTAAACTACTGTCGATGTTAGCAGTGAGGCACAGCTGAAACATACTATGTTAGGCTGTTTTAATACAAGTACTTTATCCACCACGAAAGGCTAAAAAGCCCATCTTACCCTACAATGTTCAGTCTGAGGTGCCGTATTTTAAAGAGATGTGACAAGCTAGAAGTGATCAGTCTTTGGAGGCTGATGAATGCTCACCAAACTCAAAAGAGGCTTTAGGGCAAACAGCAGGGTTTCTCAATGGATGATCTCCATTTATAATGAATATTCCAACCGCCATGGAAATTAGCCTTCCAAGTCTTCTGTTCATTAATTCATCACATACCTATTGCAAAAATTCATCACAAAGGTATTCCAGGTACTGTTCTAGGCATTGGGAATCCAAAACACAAAAATGTCTGCTTTCAAGGAGTTTGCATTTTAGGGTGGGGAGACATAATAAAATCAGTAGATTAGTGATACAGTATGTTAGAAGGTCATATGTGCTACAATAGTATGGTCAGGGAAGACTTGCTGAGAAGGTGAATGTCTTAGTCTGTTCAGGCTGCTATAACAACATGCCTTAAACTGGGTGGCTTATAAACAATGGAAATTTATCCCTCAGTTCTGGAGGCTGTGAAGTCCAAGATCAAGCAGTTGACAGATTCATTGTCTGGTAAGGGTCTACTTCCTTGTTCATAGATGGCACCTTCTAGCTGTGTCCTCACATGGTGATGGATGGGGCAGGGCAGCTCTTTAGGGCCACTTTTTTAGGGCACAAATTCCATTTATGAGAGATCTGTCCATATGACCTAATCACTTCCAGTAGTCCCACCTCCTAATGCCATCACATTGGTGATTATGTTTCAACATGAATTTTGGGGTGATGCAAACATTCAAACCATAGCAGTAAAAGAGAAACTAGTGTCAGGAAAAAGGGCATCCACATGCAGGAAGAGCAGGTTCAAAGACCCTGGTACAGGAGCAGACTTGCAGTGTCTGTGGAACAGCAAAGAGGAATAGGTTAAGGAAGAAAGGAAGAGAGAATAGGAAGAGGATGAGGTCAGAGAAATCATGGGAGGACCAGGTTATACACGGTTTCATAGGCTTTATAGACTTTGGCTTTCATTCTGAAAAAGATGAGAAGTCTTTGGAGAGGCTCTGAGCAGAAAAAGACATGATCTAACATATTTTAATAAGATCACTTGTGCTCAGTGTGGAGACTGGATTATGAGGGTTAGTGTGGGCCAGGGGAACCAAAGTAGGGCAACTAGTTAGGAGTTTATAGCAGTAATCCATTGTGGCTTGGAGTGGGATTGGTAGTAGTAGAGATGGTAAGAAGTGATTGGATTCTGAATATTTTGAGGGTAAAGTCAACAGGATATACCAACAGGATATATGTTGGATTGAATGTGGGGTATAAGAACGCAAGAACATAAGCAACAATGGCTGACATTATTGCTCTGAGCATCTGGAAGGATAGAGTTACCATTAACTGAAAACAGGGAACTGTGAATGGAACAAATTTGAGGTGAATGTCAGGAGGGACAGCTTAAGTTTGAGATGCCCACTGGACATCCAAGTAGTTAGTATGTCCTTCCTCTGTAGGCCCTTATAAGTAGGAAGCCAAGTCATAAACTGTTTTCTTAGGAATGAAGGACCGGGCCGGGCACTGTGGCTCAAGCCTGTAATCCCAGCACTTTGGGAGGCCTAGGTGGGTGTATCATGAGGTCAGGAGTTTGAGACCAGCCTGGCCAACATGGTGAAACCCCGTCTCTACTAAAAATACAAAAATTAGCCAGGCCTGGTGATGCACACCTGTAGTCCCAGCTACTTGGGAAGCTGAGGCAGGAGAATCGCTTGAACCCGGGAGGCAGAGGTTGCGATGAGCCAAGATCGTACCACTGCACTCCAGCTTGCTGGGAGGCAAAGCGAGACTCTATCTCAAAAAAAAAAAAAAAAAAAAAAAAATGAATGAAGGACTAAAAGTAGGAGTTGAAGAATCACGGTGACTTCTCTGTGATAGCTTGAGTCATCTACCCTCATCTTCCAAGGGAAGTTAAGGACCCATCCTTATGATAGACAGGGTTGGAAAAACAAGACCTAAGTGCTATCATTGGCCTTCCCTTTTCTAGACTCATCTTAACCATTCCTTTTTGTATAGATTGTTCCTTTAGAGCAGGCTATAGGTTTTTTTGTTGTTGTTGGTGGTGGTGGTGTTTTTTGAGACAGAGCTTTGCTCTTGTTGCCCAGGCTGGAGTGCAATGGCACGATCTTGGCTCACCGCAACCTCTACCTCCTGGGGTCAAGAGATTCTCCTGCCTCAGCCTCTCGAGTAGCTGGGATTACAGGCATGTGCCACCATGCCCAGCTAATTTTGTATTTTTAGTAGAGATGGAGTTTCGCCATGTTGGTCAGTCTGGTCTCAAACCCTCGACCTCAGGTGATCCAGCTGCCTCGGCCTCCCAAAGTGCTGTGATTACAGGTTTGAGCCATCGCTCCCAGTCCAGGCTATAGCTTTATATCTTCGTGAGGTTATACTACTCTCTTGAGGCTGTATATAGTGACCTGAGTTGAGCATGGAACTTCTGAGCAAGTCACTGAAACCATTTATTTTTTTCTCTTTTTTTATTTTTTAAAAATTCATATATATATATATATATATATATATTTTTTTTAAATAGAGACAGGCTCTCATGTTGCCCAGGCTGGTCTCAAAAACCTGGGCTCAGGCAGTTTTACCACCTCAACCTCCAAAAGTGCTGGGATTACAGGCGTGAGCCCAGCTGAAACCATTTTTCAATTATTACCTTGAGGGGTTACTTATTTTGATGGTTGATTACTGAAAGAGTTGCTTTTTTACCCTCAATTTACTTTTGGAGGGTAACCTTGTCTTTATTTAAGTCTCCTACCAATAAATGTTAAACGAAAATTGGTAGAATACTTTGTGTCACTCATATGTATCCAACTGTGGGGTCATATTTGGAAATTGCCATGTCTTAGGGTAAAATACCTGGGAATATCTCATTTTAGAAGGCAAGATAAATTGTAGCCCCAAATATTTGAAAGGATTATTGTGTAAAATAGGGAGTTGGCTTATTTTTCTGTTTCCCCAAGGGGCAGAGGATTGTTTATAGGTAGAACTTACAAGAAGGCAGAAGAATGTCTTAACAATTGATGTCATTTCACAGTAGAATAGGTTATTTCTTGATGTAGGAGGGTTGTGGGAAACATTCAAAGAGACAGTAGGTGACTGGTAGGTTGAAGTGATTTCTATACAAGCATACTTCATTTTAATGTGTTTTGCTTTAATGCACTTCACAATTATTTGTGGTTTGTTTGTTTTTTAACAAATCGAAGGTTAGCGGCGACCCTGCATTGAGCAAGTCTATTGGCACCATATTTCCCTCAGCATGTGCTCACTTAGTATCTGTGTCAGCATTTTTTAGCAATAAATTATTTTTAAATTAAGGTCTGTACATTGGTTTTTTTAGACAGTGTTATTGAGTGCTTAATAGACTACAGCATAGTGTAAACCAAACTTTTATATGCACTGGAAAACCAAAGAAATTTGTGTGACTCGCTTCATTGTTATATTGGCTTTATTGTGATGGTCTGGGACGGAACCTGCAGTATCTCTGAGGTAAGCTTGTATTAAATGAGGTGAGATGTTTCTGAAGTACCTTCCAAAGTTTAAGATTGCTATGATAATGTCATCTTTTTCCTTGTTGCTGAACACTTGATGCTACTGGGGAGCATTAGCCTTCCAAGTCTTCTGTTCTTTGGAAGTACTTCATTAGAACTGCAGTACTTCTGGAGTACCGTAGTTCACCAAGTATGCCTCTTAACTTTTTCCTTAGATGGCAAAGGAGTATATTTGTGGAATGGTTGACCAAGTGGGAGGGCAGCAGGCAGATTGTGTGGTCCTGTAATGTCTTGTAGTACTAAGGTTATTAAATGATCATCAGATGACCTTGTCTTCCTTAGCCTTAGGCTTTGCCCGAGTAAACTGGTTGGTTAATGGTTATTGAGGTTTGTATGCAATGAAGCATTTGTGGGAGATTGGGAAGATACTATCTTAGCTTTAAAAAACAAAGTGTTAGAATGTACAGGAAAACAGGTTGGGTTTATCTTTCATACATATGAACCCTATCTGGGAAGTGACCTCTGAAATCTCCAGAAGTCCAGGATAAGCTTTTGTATGTTTCGTATGGCATAGGCTTACAAATAATTACATTTTATGAATTGCTATATATGTGTATATGTATATATGTGTACATTTGTATATATTCCTCACCACAGGAGAAATAAAAAGTCTAATTAGCGTTCTTAATGCTCGTCAGAATAAAGACATATGCACTTATGTTAGCATTCAAGTAAATATTAAATATTTCTAAGACTAATGTAGCATATTGACCTTTTTGAGTATTTATTTTATTTTTATCATATTTGAAAATTAATTATGATACCATTTATATTTTATAGGATCTAAGCCTTTCCCACGTTATGGTTATAAACCCTCCCCACCGAATGGATGTGGCTCTCCACTGTTTGGTGTTCATGTAAATATTGTCTTTTATTTGATAAGTTTTATAACTGGTAAATCATGTAATACTTTTGGTGATATAAGACTATCAGCATGCTCTTAGATTCACAAATAATTTAGCTGGGTATAAGAGCGATCAGGTTTATTAGATTCTTTTTGGCAAAACTCCTAACCAAAGTAAATGAAGTAAAGTTGTTTTATTTTTGAATCTTATAGATGTTCATACTATTTAAGTGATATTTCCTAATATTATCACATACATAGTTGAAAAGTTTGGAGTACAGAAGTAATACTACTTAGAGGGAAAAAGTATAGATAAATCATATTTTCTACATTAAAACAAGACTAAGTGGGATAGCTGTGTGGTTGTTGTAGGAGAGACTGGATCTAAGCCAAGTATTATGGGGAAAAAAATGTTTATGAGAATGATTCCTAGACACAAGGATTTTGTGTATAAAGTTATTTAAAATAATTGAAGGTATAGATTCAGAGTAATAGTATCTTTGGGGAATGGAGAAATATTTAAAGATCAAAAAACAACAAAATTTGAGTTGTAGGAAAGTTTTCTGTGATATTTCACATAAAGTAAATTTTATTTGGAAGGAGAGGCCACAAAACACTTTGAATATCCAAAAATCATACTTGCCTAGCCCCTGGAGAATCTTTAATGGACTTAGATTTATCTTTCTTTTTTTAAAACTTATGTTTTGTGTTTTGGACAAATGGAAGTTTTGTTACTGACAGGTAACTGTGAGTGTTACCTGTGCAGAATAGGAAGCAGTGAGGCATGGCTGAGAGAGTAACATGGGTGGGTGTGGGTAAGTGTAATGGGGAGATTTATAACACGGAAAATATTTGTAGGCAGAAATGGATTTTGGAACTATCTATACAGCAGTCATTATCGTTTATGCCTATTTAATCTATTTGAATGTGGTACTTCAGCAGAGGAGTTTTGCATTTCATTGACAGTAATCCATCCAAATGCCTTTTGCAGCTTAACATTGGTATCCCTTCCCTGACAAAGTGTTGCAACCAACACGACAGGTGCTATGAGACCTGTGGCAAAAGCAAGAATGACTGTGATGAGGAATTCCAATATTGCCTCTCCAAGATCTGCCGAGATGTACAGAAAACACTAGGACTTACTCAGCATGTTCAGGGTAAGGATGTTCTGGTGGCTTGGGGATGAGTGTACTTTTTAAAGTTTTATCAAATGCTTTATGTTTTAGTATAGGGTTTATCAATAGAAATCTTTCACATATATTATCTATTGTGACACAGACTTCAATTTTCTGAGGTGAGGAGCTGATGATTTTGTAATCTAAAATGATCTATAGTCACAGAAGCAAAAAGCATTAGGAAACCTTGGGAGAGTAGGGGTGTCTAAGGCCAAGAGAGAGAAGAATTCATCTACCTTGTACCCTAAAATATATCTCCAGTCATCATGTAACAACCTAAAGTAGCTAATGTTTGAAACTCTGATTTCAGTTGTCTTAGTCCGTCTGGACTGCTACCATAGACTGGGTGGCTTACAGACAACAGAAAGTTATTTCCTACAGTTCTGGAGGCTGGGAAGTCCAAGATCAAGGCACTAGCAGATTTGGTGTCTGATGAGGACTCATTTTCTAGTTCGCAGCAGATGCCTTCTAACTGTGTCTTCACTTAGTGGAGAGGACTAGATAGCTTTCTGGGGCCTCTTTTATAAGAGCACTAATCACATTCACCATCTTTTTGAACTTAAACACCTCCAAAGGCCTCACCTTCTGATTTCATCACTTTGGAGGTTAGGATTTCAACATGAACTCCGAAGAGACACAAACATTCAGACCATACCATCAGTGAATTTAAGAGTATTGCACACTGGATTTGGAGTAGGAATTTCTAGAAGACTTGTCTTTACCTGTTTCTGTTGGGAAGGTCCCCAGATGACCCCCAGGTTCAGTGATTTACTAGGAGGACTCATGGGACTCAGCATATAGTTGTACTCACTGCCATGAGGTATTATGGTGAAGAGATACAAAACCAAACTAGCAAAGGGAAAGGGCCCTTTGGTGTCATTTTTAAAAGGAGAATGATGATGCTCACCTCACAGAGTTGTCATAAGGATGAAACGAAGTATTTGTGGAAATACAAATAAATCACCATTCAAATACTAATAGTTATAATATTTCTCTACTATCAAGCCAAAGAACATATCATACACTGAAATCAGAAGAGGCAAGGCAGGAAAGGAAAATAACATTTTAAGCACTTACCATAAGATACTGTGCTAGATATTTTATTCATGTTTTCATTTGATGCCAACAGAAACCTAAAGAGGTAGGTGGTGTTATCCCCATTTTTCAAGGAAGGAAACGAAGGTTTAGAAAACAGTAACTTGCCCCAAGTGAGCATTTAGCCTGACTTTAAAATCTGTGTTCTGTGTATTACACAGTATTCTCCAAATAGTCTCATATTATAGCCCTGATTCTAATATCCTAATAATTCATGTCAAGGAAGAAATCTCTGCTGCAGGTAATCTTGAATTCACAGCCTCTGTCTCCCTTTGCAACTTTTGGCTAAAGTAAACTAGCTGTAAACCTGAAGCATAGATGGATTTATTTCCTGTTTTCTGATTTAAGAAGAATGTGAAACCAATAATCTTGTGACCTCCTATTTAATAGTCATAGCCTCTCCACTTCTGTGGTTGGTTGTTTCTTAATGGCACCGTCTTTTGGAGAACTTTGAAAATGTTAAGATTTTGTAATGACAAGTTTCTTCCTTAACATGAATATTTTGAAACTAAAAGTATTTGGATAACTAAAAGTCACTCTGTGCTATATCTCTTTTAGTGTAACATGTTAAGATAATCTCACCTGGATGTTTCAGGTTTCTTAGAATAAGAAAAGTAAATAAATCACCTTTTCACAGTCTTAAAAAAATTTAAAAACCTGACTGGGCCGGGTGCGGTGACTCACGCTTGTAATCCCAGCACTTTGGGAGGCCTTGGCTGGTGGATCACTTGAGCCCAGGAGTTTGAGAGCAGCCTGGCCAACATGGTGAAACCCACCTTTAACAAAAAATACAAAAATTAGCCAGGTGCCTGTAGTCCTAGTTACTCAGGAGGCTGAGGTGGAAGAATCACTTTAACCCAGGAGGCAGAGGTTGCAGTGAACCAAGATTATGCCACTGCACTCCAGCCTGGGCAACAGAGTGAGGTGAGACCTTGTCTCAAAATAAATAAACAAACAAATAAACAAACCTGACTGGGGAAAAGTACTTTTGATTTCTATGCTCCCATATCCCCAAGTCAAATTAGGACATTGGTCAAAGAGATTGGATTCCGTTTACTTTAAGCCTCTTAACTGATGTATGATCAGTCCTCAGAAGCCATTGGCCATAATGAAATGTTTTGAGGTTTCAATTTTTACACTTTGTTTCTTCCGCACCTAAAACATTTTTTCTTAAAATGCAAATTTAAGAGTATTATCAGGTATCTCTTAGTGATTATGTTTTTCAAATAAAAAGAAAGTTAACACTGATTAATCAGTGCTATTTTAAAAGACTCTTATTTGTCTAGTTTAAACAATTGGGCCAAGCATGGTGGCCCACGCCTATAATGCCAGCACTTTGGGAAGACAAGTTAGGAGGATTGCTTGAGACCAGACTGGGCAACATAGTGAGACCTCATCGCCACTTAAAAAAAAAAAAAAAAAAAAAAATTAGCTGGGTGTGGTGGTGTGTATCTGTTTAAAATTAAAAATTAAATTTAAAAAATTTAAATTAAAAATTAGCTGGCCATGGTAATGCCAGCTACGCAGGAGGCTGAGGTGGAAGGATCCCTTTAGCCCAGGATGTGGAGACTGCAGTAAGCTATGACTGCACCATGACACTCCAGTCTGGGTGTCAGAGTGAGACTCTCTCAAAAAAAAAAAATTGGGTTGAACAGTTGAATGCATACAAAAAGTAAGATGCATGATAAAGAGACTAAAACTGGAAGTCTGTAGATATCTACATGTGTGTATGTAAATACGCTACAGCTTGTGAGAGTTTGGTGACTTTCATCTAGAATACATTTCAGTGCTCACGAGGGATATGCTTGTTGCTGTGCCGTAATGTGTAACATAGGTGAAAAGAGAGCAATGCAGTTGCCCAACAGTAATCCCATTTTCTTATTTTGCAGCATGTGAAACAACAGTGGAACTCTTGTTTGACAGTGTTATACATTTGGGTTGTAAACCATATCTGGACAGCCAACGAGCTGCATGCAGGTGTCATTATGAAGAAAAAACCGATCTTTAAAGGAGATGCTGACAGCTGGTGACAGATGAAGATGGAAGAACATAACCTTTGACAAATAATTAATGTTTTTACAACATAAAACTGTCTTATTTTTGTGAAAGGATTATTTTGAGACCTTACAATAATTTATATCTTGATGTTAAAACCTCAAAGAAAAAAAAGTGAGGGAGATAGGGGAGGGCACACTTGTCTTCTCAGGTATCTTCTCCGGCATTGCTTCCTAACTTATTATGCCAAATGTCTTGACCAATATCAAAAACAAGTGCTTGTTAAGCGGAGAATATTTGAAAAGAAGAATATAAACTCAATTTTCACAACCGTATTTACCAAAAAGATCAAATATAAAATTCATAAGGTCTATGCAACATTATCTTATTTGGAAATATGGGGAAATTATTACTTAAATACACATTTATGCCTAGAAGGAACGGACTTTTCTTTTTCTATTTTAATTACACATAATATGTCATTAAAGTACAACATAATATGTTGTTTCTCTGTAGCCCGTTGAGCATATGAGTAAGTCCCATTTCTATTAGGACTACTTACAAGGACAAGGTTTCCATTTTTCCATTTTTCCAGTTGTAAAATTGGAACCATCAGCTGATAACCTTGTAGGGAGCAAATCCAGGATAGCTGAGTATTATGTAATATGCCTAGAAGGTGATGTGAATGTGATTCAGAAGCATAGCCACTCCTATTTTATGAGCTACTCACATGACAAATGTTATCTTTTGCTATAACCTTTGTTAAGTTGGAGAAAAGATGGATTTAATGAGATAAATGAAAAGATACTTAACATAATACATCAAGGCACTATTTGCTGTTATGCCTTGTTATTTATTTCCCAGCACTTGTTTCTTATTATAGATTTTTTAAAGACTATAACCTTTTACTAACTGTGGTCTTACTAAAATTTGTGCTTGATACTGCTTTTCAGTATCAAAGCATCCCTTTAACTAGAGCCAAAGGGATGGAAAAGGCAAGATATAAATAACTGCCTCTTGTAGATCTCTTATTTACATTGAAAATTATTACCATATGTTTAGAGCAAATCCCAGAAAATTTCAACAGCTTCTGAAGATGTCTATGAATGTGGAAAACTTTTCAATCTCTTGGAATGCTCAGTTATGTTCCTAGACTGGTCTTTTCTGACTACTGGTTGTTAACCTTTCCGTAGCCCAGGACCTCAAGCCATATATATCCTTTGGGTATAACCCATGGCCAAAGTTATTAAGATGAAATGACTTTCAAAGTCAGAGAAGGACAGCATAGGGAGAGGCGGTTCTTTGTAAGTCATTACAGGTAGAACAGGGCAGAAGGAAAAATATGTTCTGGAGAAAGGGCCATGTTCCTAACTTTGGAGATGTGTCATTGCCAGGAACCTAGTATCTTCCAACTTGAATTGGTGGCAGCTGTTCCACTGAGACAAGGCGCATGTATGCCTTGTGGCTAAGTGAGCAAACTGGGCTTCCTCTTAAATGTTTGGAATCCTCAATTGATTCTTTATTTCAAAACTTTATAAAAGATACAGTTTTGTAAGCCATTATTAATAATTAATGCTTATCGGCCAGGCATGGTGGTTCATGCCTGTAATCCCAGCACTTTGGAAGGCTGAGGCGGGTGGATCACTTGAGGTCAGGAGTCTGAGACCAGCTGGCCAACATGGCGAAACACCATCTCTACTAAAAATAGAAAAAATTTGCCATGCATAGTGGCGCATGCCTGTAGTCTTAGCTACTCAGGAGACTGAGGCAGGAGAATCACTTGAACCCAGGAGGTGGAGGTTGCAGTGAGCCAAGATCGTGCGACTGCACTCCAGCCTGGGCAACAGAGCAAGACTCTATCTTTAAAAAAAACAAAAAAAAAAACTTAATGGTTTATCAATATTTATTATTGAAATACTTGTCCAGGTAACTTTACACTTATAATTAATTCATGGATTTTGTTAGCAGCATTGGCTTTCTCAAAAGGACAAACTCAGAATATCTTTATAAAATATAATTCATGATCACAAATTACACAAAAATCAGTAGAAACAGTTTTTATGTTCAGATTTTTAAAAAAACTTGGAATACTTTTAGATTTACAGAGAAGTTGCAAAGATACATGGAGCGCTTCTGTGACCACTCACCCAGTTCCCCTAGTGTTAACCTTTTATTTAACCGTGAATCATTTGTCAGAAGCTAAGTAACCAATATTGGTAATTACTATTAACAGAACTTGACTTTATTTTTCAGATTGTACTAGTTTTTTAATTAATGTCATTTTTCTTTTCCAGGATCCAGTCTAGGATACCACACTGAATTAGTCGTCATGCCTAATTAGTCTCTGGTCTGTAATAGTTCCACTGTCTTTCTTTTTCATAAACTTGACAGTTTTGAGGAGTACTGATCAGGTGTTTTGTAGAATGTGCCTCAGTTTGAGTTTGTCTGATATTTTCTTCATGATTAGAGTGGGGTTATGGATTTTTTGGAAGAATACCAGAGGTAAAGGTCCTTCTCACTGCATCATGTCAGGAGTTACATGCTATCAGCTTGATGGTTTATTAACTTTGGACACTTGGTTAAGGTAGTGTGTGTTGCTTTTTGCTGCTGAAAATTACTGTTTATTTTCCCTTTCCATACTTCTATTCTTTGGAAAACAGTCACTAAGTCCAGTCATGGGAGGTGGTGAGTGGGGAAGATTACATTCAACCTCCTGAAAGTGGAAATATCCATATGTAGTATTTGGAATTTTTGCATATGGGAAATTTGTCTCTCCCTCCCACTCTAATTTGTTTATATCAGTATGGACTCATGTATATTTTGTATTTTGGGTAACACAGTATTTATTTGTTGCTTAAATTGTCCAGCTTGGCTATTAGGAGTTCTGCCAGGTTGGCTGCTATGTCCCTTTGATGTGCCCATCCTTTTGATTTTTGAGCACTTCCTTGCTTTCTGGCACTACAAGATGCTCCAGGTTCATCTTGTATATTCCCTGCCCCAATGCTAGAATCCCTAGAATCAACCCCTCCTCCAAAGAGCCCTGGTTCCTTTTGTTGGAGAATCATACTTAGAAACCAAGAACTGGGCATTAGATGTGCTTGTTGCTACTGGGATGTCATTGTTTGCAGCAGAATTGAGAAATACGTAGGCATATTAACCCATACATATGTACACATCTGTAATTATTATTGTAGGTGTGTACACAGCTCAACATGAGTTTGTACTGCTGTCTTCAACTCAAAATTTGTCCCAACATTTTATGGTATATATTTAGATTTTGAAGTTGATATTTTCCCAATTGACAGAATAAACTCATTAAAAGAGCAAAAAACCGAGAACTAACTTTCAGCAGCTCTTTGCAAGAAATGTAATATTGATACTTTAAAATAATACTGCCTTCAAATGATGCCTGTCTCTTTAAAATCTTTTGGCATAGTTCTTCCAGGGACAAATATGGCCGTATTTATTTCATAGATGGAAAAACTGAGCACAGAGCTGTAATGAAGGCAGAATTGAGATATGAGGGCAAAAGCTAATTAAATACATCTTCACAGGTAGCCTTTCTTTCAGTGAACCTGTAGACTAGTCCAGTAATACTCATTAAAATTAGTTGTTAGAGGCTGGGCATGGTAGCTCAGGCCTGTAATCCTAGCACTGTGAGAGGCCAAGGCAGGCAGATCACTCGAAGTCAGAAGTTAGTTCGAGACCAGCCTGGCCAACATGGCAAAACCCTGTCTCTACTAAAAATACAAAAATTAGCTGGGCATGGTGGGACACGCTTGTAATTCCAGCTACTCAGGAAGTGAAGGCACAATAATTGGTTGAACCTGGGAAGCAGAGGTTGCACTGAGCTGAGGTTGCACCGCTGCACTCCAGCATAGGCGTCAGAACAAGACTCTGTCTTGGAAAGAAGAAACAAATTGTTAGCCTAAAACCCACTCTCTCTAAATTTAAAAGAGTGATTATTTCTTTCAGTATTTATAGAAGTATGAGATTATCAGAAGGTGTGATGCACAATGCTCATTATTTTATCATAGTACAAGACAGGTATAACATCTAACAGTAAAGAAGATGGAATCTTTCTATAAAAATTCTGTTATTAATAGTTGACTGACTTCAGTAACTTTGAGGAGTAGAATGAAACTTATTAGGCAAGATCTTTTCACATACACTATGTTGCATTGTTCAACATTCATAGAAATTACTTGCAATATATTGATTTAAGCCTTATGTGGTGACTGGTGCTATATTTGAAGTAGCATTTTTAGTTTGCTGTTTTTCCTCACTGCTTAATCCTACAAAAACCAACGATCTGCCTAAAAAATAAAAGAATTGTAGTCAATGGCTAAATATTGAGCCACATGCAAGGCAACTGGGGTAGGTAATGAGGAAACCAAAAAATGCCACTCCTGTTTCCAACGAGTACAAGAAGATGGTAATAACCAATATTCATTGAACTCTTCACATGGCGGGCAGTATTCTGAGTCCTTCACAGTCACTTAACCCAATCATCACAACCACCATACAAGGGAAATATGGATATTCCATGTCTTTGTTGCAGAATAAGTTACTAAGACAGTGATTTCTGAAATATTTTATGCATAGAGTGAAATGAACAGTAAATGGTTTGAGTAAAAACCCTTCTTTGATTTCATACTCTATTTAATGACATCAAGATGTGAACCACAGGCAGATGTGGAAGTTATCAAATTAGATTTTTTCTCTCCCAAATAATGGTATGAGATGAGTTCCTTATACCTATTTCTTAAGTATTCCTTATACTTATTTTAATATATTAGAAATGGTGCCTTAACACATTTTAATTTTTTCCCACTCTAAGATTGCTTGCTTTTAAAATTACAAGGTCCAGAGGAATTACAAAAGATAAAGCCACCATTTCATCAAATCTGAAAGCACTGTCAAAGTAAATTTTGTACAATAGCCAACCACCCAAGGAGGAGCTAAATTAAATCCAACATTGAGCAACCCATGGTACCTTGTTAGCACGCTGGGTGGTATTTTATGGGTAGGACAACATGCTTTCCCCAAGAAACACCATAGAGACCCTCGTTGTTCTGTGAATTTCTGCATGATCCTGTCCCTGAATTAGCTCTACCTGTGAAAGCCAGATTTGAAAAATCCAGGAGTAACTGGGTGCGGTGGCTTACGCCCATAATCCCAGCATTCTGGGAGGCCACGGTGGGCGGATACCAGGTCAGGAGTTTGATAGCAGCCTGACCAACATGGAGAAACCCCGTCTCTACTAAAAATACAAAATTAGCCAGGCATGGTGGTGCATGCCTGTAATCCTAGCTACTTGGGAGGCTGAGGCAGGAGAATTGCTTGAACCTGGGAGGCAGAGGTTGCGGTGAGCCGAGATCATGCCATTGTACTCCAGCCTGGGCAACAAGAGCTAAAACTGTCTCACAAAAAAAAAAAATCCAGGAGTTACCTGTAGTTTACTTTGGCCCAAGTCTTCTATACAAACAAAGAGCATTTAAAATAAGTTACTGCAAGTCCTACAAAGTAACTCGCACTGGGGAAAGGACTACACATGAAACAGGAACATATATGCCACCAACTATGGGATACCTCAGAGAGATTCCGAGTTTGGTTCCAGAACGCCAATAAAGAGTCACACAAATTTTCTGGTTTCCCAGTGCATATAAAAGTTGTTTATACTAAAATGTAGTCTATTAAGTTTGCAATAACACGTCTAAAAAAATAATGTATATACCTTAATTTTAAAATATTGCTAAAAGATGCTAGGGATCACCTGAGCCTACAGTGAGCTATAATCTTTGTTGATGTGGGTCTTTTTGAGGGCTGCTGACTGATTAGGGTGGTATTTGCTGAAGGCTGGGGTGACTGACAGTTTCTTAATAAGGAAGTTTGCTTCATTCTTTTTTCTTTTTCTTTTTCTTTTTTTTTTTTTTTTTTTTGAGATGGAGTCTCGCTCTGTCATCCAGGCTAGAGTGCAGTGGCATGATCTTGGCTCACTGCACCCTCTGCCTCCTGGTTCAAGTGTTTCTCATGCCTCAGCCTCCTGAGTACCTGGGATTACAGTTGCCTGCCACCGTGCCCAGCTAATTTTTGTATTTTTAGTAGAGACAGGGTTTCACCATGTTGGCCAGTCTGGGCTCGAACTCCTGGCTTCAAGTGATCTGCCTGCCTTGGCCTCCCAAAGTCCTGGGATTACAGGCATGAGCCACTGCACCTGGCCATCCATTGATTGTTCCATTCACTAAAGATTTCCCTGTAGCATGTGATGCTGTTTGATAGCATTTGACCCTTCTTTCAAAATTGGGGTCAGTTCCCCCAAACCCTGCCACTGCTTTGTCAACTAATACTCTGAATCCTTTGTTGTCATTTAAACCCGGGAGGCGGAGCTTGCAGTGAGCTGAGATCCGGCCACTGTACTCCAGCCCAGGCTACAGAGCAAGACTCCGTCTCAAAAAAAAAAAAAAAAAAAAAAAACAGTATTCACAGCATATTCACCAGGAGTAGATTCTATCTCAAGAAACCACTTTCTTTGTTCATCCATAAAAAGCATCTCCTCATCTATCAGAGTTTTATCATGAGATGGCAACAATACAGCCACATTTTCAGGCCCTACTTTCAGTTCTATTTGTCTTAATACTTCTGCCACATCTACAGTGACTTCCTTCACTGAAGTCTTGAACCCCTCAACATCATTGATGAGGATTGGAATTAACTTCTTTCAAACTCCTGTTAATGTAGAGTATATATACATATACCTGTATATAACGTTTGTGTGTATATATAAAATGGGTTGGTATGTTGTCCTGCCCATAAAATACCACCCAGTGTGCCAATTGAAGTATATATAATTTTAAAATATTTATATATAAATATATATTTATATATATTTACATTTATATATACATAATATATATTTATATATAATATATACAATATACATTTAATATATTAAAATAGAATATATATATATTTTTTAAAGAGGGTCTTACTCTGTCACCCAGACTGGAGTGCAGTGGCACAATCAGCTCACTGCAGTCTCAAACTTGGGCTCAAACAATCCTGCCATCTTAGTGTCCTGAGTTGCTGGGAATACAGGCATGTGCCGCCACTCTTGGCTAATTAAAAAAAAAATTTTGTAGAGACAGGGTCTTGCTTTGTTGCCTAGGCTGGTCTCAAAACTCCTGGCCTCAAGCAATCCTCCCACCTTGGCCTCAACAAAGTGCTGGGTTTATAGGCATGAGCCACTGTGGCTGATACATATATTTTTGATTTTTTGTTTTTCTTTTTTTTCCCCCTCTAGTTTCTAGTTACATACCATAAGTGGATATTTTGATCTCCCGTGAATCACAGATGTTCTTAATGGCATCTGGAATGATGAATCCTTTCCAGAAGATTTTCAATTTACTTTGCTCAGAACTATCAGAGGAATCACGATGACAACTACAGCCTTATGAAATGTATTTTGTAAATAAGACTTGAAAGTCAAAATTTCTCCTTGATCCATGGGCTTCAGAATGGATGTTGTGTTAGCAAGCATAACAGCATCAGTCTCTGCACATCTCTATCAGAACTCTTGGATGACCAGGTGTATTGTCAATGAGGAGTAATATTTTGAAAGGAACCTTTTTTTCTGAGCACTAGAACTCAAGAGTGGGCTTTAAATATTCCGTAAGCCATGCTGTAAATAGATGTGCTGTCACTAACTAGGCTTTGTTGGTCCATTTATAGATCATATTTAGCATAATTCTTAAGGGTGCTAGGATTTTCAGAATGGTAAAGGAATGTTGACTTTAAAGTCTTCAGTTGTATTAGCCCCTAACAAGAGCATCAGCCTGTTCTTTGAAGCTTTGAAGACAGGCATTGACTTCTCTCCAGCTATGAAAGTCTTAGATGGAATCTTCTTCCACTAGAAGGCCGTTTCATATACATTTAAGATCTGTTGTTCTGACTGGGCATGGTGGCTCACACCTGTAATCCCAGCACTTTGGGAGGCCGAGGCGGGCAGATTGCTCGAGGTCAGGAGTTCAAGACCAGCCTGGCCAACATGGTGAAACTCCATATCTACTAAAAATACAAAATTAACCTGGACATAGTGGCACATGCCTATAATCCCAGTTACTTGGAAGGCTAAGGCAGGAGAATCGTTTGAACCCAGGAGGCAGAAGTTGCACGAGATCGCACCACTGTACTCCAGCCTTGGTGACAGAGCAAGACTCTTATCTCAAAAACAAAAGATCGTTGTTTAGTGTAGATGCCTTTATCAATGATTTTAGCTAGAGCTGGATAACCTGATGCAGCTTCTACATTAGCAGCTGCTGCTTCACCTTGCACTTTTATATCATGAAGATAGCTTCTTTCCTTAAACCTCAGGAACCATCCTCTGCTAGCTTCCAGCTTTTGTTTTGCAACTCCCTCACCTCTCTCAGCCTCCACAGAAATGAAGAGTTAGGACCTTGCTCTGGATTAGGCTTTGGCTTAAGGGAATGTGGCTGGTTTTATCTTCTATCCAGACCAACTAGAACTTTCTCCGTATCAGCAATAAGGCTGTTTAGCTTTATTATCTTTTGTGTGTTTACTGGAGTAGCATTTTTAATTTCCTTCAAAATTTTTTCCTGTGCATTCATGACTTGGCTTTTCTCCTTTGCACTCACAACTCGGCTAACTGGAGCAAGAAGCCTAGCTTTCTGCCTACCAACATTACTTCCTCACTAATTTAATCATGTTTGCTTTTGATTTAAAGTGACAGACTCTTCCTTTCATTTGGACACTTAGAGGCCTTTGTAGGATTATTAGTTGGCCTAATTTCAATATTGTGTTTCCAGGAGTAGGGAGGCCCCAGGAGAGGGAGAGAGAAGGGAAAGGTCAGTGGAGCAGTCCAAACGCATACAGGGCTTATGGATTAATTTCCCCTTCCCCTATGAGCGCGGTTCATGGTGCCCCAAAACAATTGCAATAATATTCAAGATTACTGATCACAGATCACAATAGCAGACATAATAACAATGAAAAATTTTTAAATATTGCGAGATTACCAAAATGTGACACAGAGACAAAGCGAGCCAATGTTGAAATACAGGCAGTATCTGCTAAGTGGTATAAAACAATCTATGCCTGTACCTCTAGAAAGGAAGAGTAGATGTTTGGGGCAGCTGGGATTAAATGAGGCCGAGCTCACACAAGTGATGTGAAATTGCCTCGGGCTAGGCGGTCTGTGTGTATCCCCTGGGTGGCAACTGGCATGTCCCAGCCGGCCTGGGGGCGAAGACCGCGTACCTCTCCCCGCCCCCGCGCTCTTGGCCCCCGCGGGCTCCGGAGCGACTGGGAGGAGCTTTAACTCTGTGGGAAGGACCAGCACGATCCACGGTAGCTACGGCGGCGCCAGAACCAACTGGCCCCACTCTCGGGGGCAGAGGGCGGGGCCGTCGAGGAAGGGCCGAGGGCGGGACCGGGAGCCTCTGGCTTCAGGAAGCGGAGGCCAGGGCGTCTGGCTGTGCGCTTGGCCGCAATGAGCTCGGCGTCGGGGCTCCGCGGGGTGCACCCCGCAGGTAGGCCGGGGGCGCTGACTGGGCAGCGAGCAGGTCTGCGTCTTGCTCCTGCTGGAGGGGAAATGCGGGTTAGCGGGCTGGTCTCGGGGACCGGAGCGGGGCGGCGGGTTCCTTTGGCTTTGCAGGGCGGCCTGGAAAAGTTGCACTCTTGGATTGAAGGGCTCAGGGCTGGCGGGGACGGCTTCGAGCGTCAGTCCAAGAAGCACTCCGGGACCTGGCCGTCGCCTCCTGGCGGTCCCGGGTAGCGGCGCCGGCGCCGGGGCGTGCCCCTGCCGCCTTTGTCCTCCCGAGCAATGAGCACTTTCGGGGCGCCCCGGCTGTTTAAACCTTAAAAGGCTGGCCCCACCTGGGCCTGACGTTCCCCCACGCCTGGCCGTTTTAAATGCTGACTTTTGGGGGTTGGATCTTTTGTTTGCTCACTTCGAAAAGTAAAAAGGAGGGGTTGTTCCGCCGAGTCATAAATCATAACTGGCCGCGGGGTGCCCGGGCCAAGGCCCTGAGTCCGCCCGGGCTTCAGCTGGAGGCGGCCAGTTCCTGGCGGCGAGCATACCCCGGTATCTCTCTTCTGCATCCGGGAAACCTGCTGCTGTCTGTCGGCTTGAGCCAAAACCACAATAACTTTTCTCTGCAAAATAATCTATTGCTAAGAGCATACGTTCTGTCACTTATTACTGTAAAGTTTAGAAACTTCAAGCCTGGCCAGAGTAAAACAAAAAGTTCGAAACGCCTGCAGTTGGCCGGACGCGGTGACTCACGCCTGTAATCCCAACACCTTGGGAGGCCGAGGCGGGCGGATCACCAAAGATCGGGAGTTCTGGACCAGCCTAATTAACATGGTGAAACCCCGTCTCTACTAAAAATACAAAAAATTAGCCAGGTGTGGGCGCCTGCTGCTGGGGAGGCTGAGACAGGAGAATCGTTTGAGGCCGGGAGGTGGAGGTTGCAGTGAGATCGCGCCACTGCACTCCAACCTCCGCGACAGAGTGAGAATCAAGAAAAAAAAAAAAAAAAAAAAGAAACGCCTGCAGTTGGTTAGAGTGCCTTTGTTTAAGAACTTTTTACATTTTGCTGCACAAAGGAAGTGGTGCTCCAGAGGCAAGTTGTAAAAGTCACATGGTCGTAGAGGGAGTAGATAGGTAGCCTTGTCCTGGAGGCACAGGATCCAGTTGCAATCTCTAGGGGCGGGAAGCCCGGGTTTCCTTCACTCACCTGCTCCCTTCCTCTACTTCCTCCACCGCACTCCCCCGTACATGTTCTAGGCCTGATGGAGGTTACTCTACATAGGGTTACTAAACATATTGTTGATGGAGCCGATGGGTAGATTTTCATAGAGAGTGCAGTGAATGAAGACGATGACAGTAGAATGATCCAAGTCGTTTGGGAAGTTGAACAAAGTTTAGAAAGGTAGCTGGTCTCAGGTGGGAGGGGCTGCGTGGAGATGGGCCTGCAGAAACTTTGGAATCTGCAGGTGGGCCTGGCTTTCAATCCCAACTCCACTTTGCCGACCTTGGCACGCCTGGCCCCCTCTGTCCCTGTTCCTGAGCTGTGGAACTGTGAGATAAGGTATCTAAGGCGTCAGGCCATCAACAAATGGTAGCTGGCAGGATTATCTGGAGGGATTATCAAATTAGAGTGAAGTGAAAAAAGGAATGATTAGTTTTGTAAAACCTAAACTGATTTAAGGAACAAGGAGGTGGCAGTTACATTATCCTGGGAAGGAAGAGAAGTGAAAAGAGGGCCGGACACGGTGTTGGGCGCCTGTAGTCCCAGCTGCTGGGGAGGCTGAGGCAGGAGAATCTCTTGAATCCGGGAGGAGGAGGTTGCAGTGAGCCAAGATTGCGCCACTGCACTCCACCCTGGGCGACAGAGGGAGGCTCTGTCTCAAAAAAAAAAAAAGTGAAAAGAGGTCAGGAATCAGGTTTAAGGAAGGGCACATTTTTGATAAGTAGATTGCAAATGAAAAGGAATTTCTATATCTGTTATAGAGGGTAGCTCCTTCATTAAAATTTATTTTCTCCATATCAATAAAGCTATTTCTTACTTTATCCAGGTTTTTAAATATTAATGCAGGCCGGACGCGGTGACTCACACCTGTCATCCCAGCACTTCCAGGAGGCTGAGGCAGGTGGATCACTTGAGACCAGGAGTTCCAGACCAGCCAGGACAACATAGCAAAACCCCATCTCTCATGAAAATACAAAAAAAAAAAAAAAAAAATTAGCTGGGCATGGTGGCGCATGCCTGTAATCCTGGCTACTCTGGAGGCTGAGACAGGAAAATCGCTTGAACCCAGGAGGCGGAGGTTGTGGTGAGCCAAGTTCATACCACTGCACTCCAGCCTGGGTGACAGAGTGAGACTCCGTTTCAAAAATATAGAAATAAAAAATAAATATAAATGCGGCATAATGATACTTAAGTGCCCCCTTCTGGAAAGCTTGTCTGCTTGGGATACACAGCTCAAGGTGGTCATGATGTGTTATTTTCTTTGCAATCTGTGGGTAAAGTTTAACTCCAGAAAAGTATTGGAACTTAGGTCCTGACATCTGTCTCCATAGCATTTTGTTCTGATTCGGTGTTTGCTAGAGTGGCCACTGGACCTGGTCATTAATTGGTACTACAGGATGCAGGGTGCACTTTGTGAGAGTGAAGGTAAGTTACAGCCAGCCAGCATCAGAACCGGTGTCCAGAGCCTAGGTTTTTCCCTACATCTGTAGCATTAACAAACAACACAAAAACTTAAAAAAAAAAAAAATCCCTCACTGAGGTTGCCAAATCTGTTAACTTTGAAACTGAATATATTATTTTAAGAGATGGGGTCTAGCTCTGTTACTCAGGCTGCAGTATGGTGGCTATTCACAGGGGCAGTCATAGCACACTATATCCTAGAACTCTTGGGCTCAAGAGATCCTCCTGCCTCAGCCTCCCAAGTAACTGGGACTATAGGCTTGCCACTATGCCCGGCCCGCACGTCGTTTTAAATAGATTTTCTTGAGCAGCTACTTGGTACTAGTTAGCCATTCTTAAACCTGTAGGTCTTGACTAATGTGAGGGCATATTTGAAACAACCCAAACTCACATCTTAAGTTACTAATATATCAGCTAACAACTGGGAAGCTACTTCTTTGGGAATATGAGAAACAAGAGTTTTAAAGACCCAAGCAAGAATACATCTCCAGTGTTTTCACCCTGAGGGATATGAGTTAGTTTGCTGAGCAGCCATTTGGCACAGCTTCCGCGAGTTAGGCTGTGAGCAGCCTCCGGCTCAGCAGTCGGTATGGAGCAGAAGCCGCAGGAGGTGAGCCGCTGGCCTGCTACCACCAGGGCAGACGCTGAGACACTGAGTGCTTTCCAAGTTGTGCAGAATTTTGGCGGGTGAGGCAGATGGTTGTGACATATGGGTTTAATTTTCTTGAAGTTACTGTTTCTTTGTAGTCTAATTGGTTAAAAGATAAGCAGGTGAGGTTATCAAAAGGCAGTAGATCCCGACAGCTTTTGAAAATGGGAAGAGTGAAATCCCTGTGCTGTCTTCATAGAGCAGTGTGTGGAGTAGGAAGTACCTGGTTGCTGTGCTCACCTACGGCAAAGGTCGGACTAAACAGCTTTCTCATCTGCCATGCAGCGGGGAGGACCAGTTGGAGAAGTTGCTTTTAGCTCTCACACCTTAGTGTAAAAATCACTTTGTGAAAAATGAAGCTGTCACCTCCTTCCTCTAAGATTCTGATTCTGTCTCAGTTAGGATCCAGGAATCTGCATTTCAACATCCACACCAGGAATTCTGATGTCCAAGGTTGAGCAAAACTGACTTAGGGCTTATGGACAGAGGGATGCCTTAGTGGGGTCTTAGTTGGGTCTGATTGCTTGGGGCAGTTCCTGGAGGAATAGGCTAAAGGGGACTTGAACTGAATTCCCCAGCTTGTATTTTTTTTTAGGAGAAGTGAGGTTAGAACAATCAGGTGATGGGGGCTAGTAATGGGGAGATCTCTTAAGGACAGGGAAACACAACCCTTTTGGCTAGGAGATGATGGGTAAGAGGCCATGCTTTACGGCCATTCCTCCTCAACTGAAGGGTGCCTCTTGCTATACTGCTAATATTTCGGTTTATTCATTACTGTCTCCCCTCTAAGCTGTTGAGCTATCAGGTAAAAACAGATGCATGAGTGGATGGGGACTTTATTGTAGAAGATGCCACACTTTTTGCACTGTCCGGTGTAGAAGCCACTGGCCAATTAATTTAAATTGAAAATAAATTGAGTTCCTCACTGCACTAGCTACATTTCAATGCTCAGTAGACACATGTGGCCAGTGGCTACCTTATGAGACAGTGCAAATATGGAACAATTCCACCATCACAGACAGTTCCATGACATAGCACTGCTCTGGAGAGTAGATAGCAATTCAGTGGAAGGCTGGCTGTCCAGGAAGTAGGGAGTCCAGTTGAGATTGGAGAGCAGAGAGCTCCCTTATAGAGCTGGAAATGCGGATGTGTCATGCAGGAGATCCAAGGTCCAAGTCTTTGCCCTTGCCCTTCCTTTCCTCCGCCCAAACTTCTACCTCTTCCAGGCCTACACCACTGCTAAGCCAGCATTAACCACACACTGTATTTCAGTTCTCCTGTAGGACTCAATTCTTTGTTTCAGAAAATATGTGCAAAAACATTTTCTGCATAACAAAGCAACTTCATATTTCAACTCCATAATCACAGAACTATGTTACTCTAGGCATATTTTGCAGTGAATGCATTTGTGTAATATTTTCTCCATTTCCGTTTATAAGATTGTTATTTTGCAGGTCGAGTTGGGGGTGAGAAAGCATAGAGCTGTTAATTTATAGTTTATTAGTAAGCAGTTTCCCTTCATTTCCTTCTCTTCATATACTTTGACTTTTAAACTAACCGAAACAGAAGGGTCTTCGAGTTTGGGAGTTGGAAGGGGAATGGGAGTTCCTACTATATTTTACTGCCTTAAGTAAAAAATAATGAACAAAAATCAACTTTTTTTTAATAGGTGGGGAAGAAAACATGACAGAAACAGATGCCTTCTATAAAAGGTAAAGCCATGCTCTTTTCTAATAAAGGTCTCGTCCTTTGATGGTCATGATCAGCCTACAGAAATCAAAGCAAGAATGGGTCCTGGGAGCTGGAAAGAACAACTGAGCAGGCCAAGTTTTAGCCTCTGGGGAGCTGATTTGTAGATAAGGCAGGTGGTGCTGCCCCTGGTTGTCGAGGGACCTGGAGTCAGAATACATACCGGCATGGCATGAGCCTAGAGCTAGAGCTTGGTTCTGAGCCTCGTGGTTATTCTTGGTTGCTGGATCCTGGGGGCCCGGGGAAAGACATCAAGGCAGAGGGTTAGGGATGTCAGGATGGCACATGGCTGCTGTTTACCGATTGCCAGAGAGATATTTCAGGACTTCCCTTATTAGCATGGCTTTTCCTGGAGCACACCAGTGGAACATCAGCCTGGCAAGGAGGAAGCTCAGCTCTCTATCTACATGTTGCCCTAGAACTTGGAGGGGCTCATTATTTAATATGACTTGAAGTGATTGTTTTTGAACTTTTCATTAACAGAGAAATGTTTGATCCGGCAGAAAAGTACAAAATGGACCACAGGAGGAGAGGAATTGCTTTAATCTTCAATCATGAGAGGTTCTTTTGGCAGTTAACACTGCCAGAAAGGCGGGGCACCTGCACAGACAGAGACAATCTTACCCGCAGGTAGTAGTTTTATCTACATATCAAGATGAGGCAGTTAAGTGATAAAATTACGTTTGGCCAGGTGTGGTGGTTCATGCTGGTAATCCCAGCACTTTGGGAAGCCAAAGTGGGAGGGTCACTTGAGGCAAGGCGTTTGAGACAAGTCTGGGCAACAGAGTGAGACCCTGTCTCTACAAAAAATAAAAATCAATTAGCTGGGCATGGTGGCAGTAGTCCAGCTACTCTGGAGGCTGAAGGGGCAGGACTGCTTGAGCCCAGGAGTTCAAGGTTGCACTGAGCTGTGATCGTACCACTGCACTCCAGGCTGGGCTACAGAGGGAGACCTTGTCTCTAAAATTAAAAAATAAAATAATTTTTTTTCCAGGCTTCCAAAAGAAAAGTTAAAAAAAAAATTAAAAATTAAAAAAATTCCAGACTCATAGAAGTAGGGAAAAAAAGTTACTTATCATAACTTGTCAACACTAATGAGGTAATAGCAGATCAAGAGTGTTTAAAGATGGGCCTCGCTTTGATGCAGCCTCCCTTAAGAACTTGCCTGAGTTACCTTCCTTACTCTGTTCTGTTAAATGTTGACAGGCTTTGCATTTGTACTAACATTTGCATAGTAGACAACAACACACTAAATTCAATCGGCTGTCATGATTAAATCCTTTCCTACCATGGTGAATGAAGGGAAAACCACCATTGTTATATTTCATTTTTTTTCTCCTAAAGAAAGAAAATTTGTGTCATTAAAATGTGTATAGATTCCTCCAAAGTAAGGATATTTGACAACTTTGAAAAGTTTATAGGCTAACATTTCATTTAATATATCACTAGGTTTTCAGATCTAGGATTTGAAGTGAAATGCTTTAACGATCTTAAAGCAGAAGAACTACTGCTCAAAATTCATGAGGGTAGGTAGTTTTGCTATTATATAGTTCATCTTCCTCTAATGAGATTGAGTCCTTTATCCTATCTGTAAAGACAGGTACAAGCAATTACTTATGTGACAAAAAAAGTATTAATTTAGCACAGGTTACAGGTTTTGGGTATGCTTCTGTGTTTCCGTTACCCAGCACATTTAGAGACCCTTGCAAAGAATTATGCCTCTAAAGTTTATATTTAGCATACCACTCGTTACAGTCTATTGTAGAAATGAATGAAATGACCCCTTCAATTGGCGGTAAAAGCCTAAAATGCAACTACTACAGGTGCTGGGCAGTCAATAGGTTTTTTTCTTAGTGACTCCTTTCATGACCGATTTTCTCACTGGTTTCCAAATCGTGTTGGTTTACATACATTACCTCCTTTAATTCTCCCATCAATATGGGGTACATATTCTGATTACAACCTGTATTATAATCATCACTGCATACCACGGGTATTCAAATCATTTGCCAACGATTATATTTGCATAATTACTTTAAACTTTCTTCAGAGCTCTTCTTTAAACTGCACATCATTTTAACTTTGGCTGCTTACCAGCTTTTCTACTTTGCTCAGAAGCTTTGGAAGACATCAGTCTCATGTCACCGCACCCGGCCTTGAGTACTCTTTTGGAAGCTCTAAGTGCTATAATCTCTTTTTTTTTTTTGAGTCGGAGTCTCGCTCTGTCGCCCAGGCTGGAGTGCAGTGGCCGGATCTCAGCTCACTGCAAGCTCCGCCTCCTGGGTCTACGCCATTCTCCTGCCTCAGCCTCCCGAGTAGCTGGGACTACAGGCGCCCGCCACCTCGCCCGGCTAGTTTTTTTTTTGTATTTTTTTTGGTAGAGACGGGGTTTCACCGTGTTAGCCAGGCTGGTCTCGATCTCCTGACCTCGTGATCCGCCCGTCTCGGCCTCCCAAAGTGCTGGGATTACAGGCTTGAGCCACTGCGCCCGGCCTCTTTTTTTTTTTTTTTGAGATGGAATCTCGCTGTGTCCTCCAGACTGGAGTGCAGTGGCATGATCTCAGCTCACTGCAACCTCCACCTCCTGGGTTCAAGCGATTCTCCTGCCTCAGCTTACCAAGTAGCTCACCCCCAAGCCCGGCTAATTTTGTGTTTTTAGTAGAGACAGGGTTTCACCGTGTTGGCCAGGCTAGTCTTGAACTCCCAGCTTCAAGTGATCCACCTGCCTCGGCCTCCCAAAGTGCTGGGATTCCAGGCGTGAGCCACCGTGCCCGGCCCTAAGTGCTGTATTCCTATGGTGAAAGTGCAGCAACACGTGGGGAGTTGTTGAGCAGCAGTTCCTGGGTCTTTTGCTCTAAGGTCTCTGCTGATTCAAGGAAATTTTTAGTTTATTGCCAAAGTAACTTGGATCTTAAATGAGATTCCCTATCATAATCCCTTTATGTTTTCCACATCATTCTGTGTTTTAGAAAGGCTAATGAAATTTGGTCAAACTCTGTTACTCTGAACTTGAATAAATTTGGATTTTTTAAAACATAAGATACAGTATGGTATATTGTTTGATTAAAGACTAAAATAAGTTGTTTCATTACAGATATTTTACACTTATTAAAGAATAGACCAGGCGTGGTGGCTCATGCCTGTAATCTCAGCACTTTGGGAGGCCAAGGTGGGTGGATCACTTGAGGTCAGGAGTTCGAGACCAGCCTGGCTACATGGCAAAACCCTGTCTCTACTAAAAATACAAAAATTAGCTGGGTATGGTTTCGAATCTGTAATCCTAGCTACTTGGGAGGCTGAGGCAGGAGAATCGCTTGAACCAGGGAGGTGGAGGTTGCCGTGAGCCAAGATCATGCCACTGCACTCCAACCTGGGCACCAAGAGTGAAACTCTTGTCTCAAAAAAAAAAAAAAAAAGACAAAACCACAAATTTTCCTCTTCCCCAGTCATATGGACGTAATTTTATTCTAGTATTAATAAACTGAATTTTTATGTGTAGATAACAAGCATCATGTTTTCATTTCTATATTCTCTTTTGGGTCCTTTATAGTGTCAACCTCTAGCCACGCAGATGCCGATTGCTTTGTGTGTGTCTTCCTGAGCCATGGTGAAGGCAATCACGTTTATGCATATGATGCTAAAATCGAAATTCAGACATTAACTGGCTTGTTCAAAGGAGACAAGTGTCAGAGCCTGGTTGGAAAACCCAAGATATTTATCATTCAGGTAAGACTGATTACGTTGTCATCTTAATTATAAAGTCTGTCATTTGGAACATGTGATAAAGGTCTAAAAGCCAATTTTGAAAGTAACTTTCTCCAGTAATTGGACAGGCCCTTTTTGAATTCTGGCCAATCAGAGTTGCACTTTGAGCTGTTAGTAATAATTCTTTGACACTCTCATTGTCTGTATTACAAAGTAACAGCATTTGGATTGACACTTGAAGTGACTCACAAAGTAACCAATGTGCTACTCGCTGGCCCAGCATGATATCAAGGAGAGCCATTGGAAAAGGTACCTGCTGACTAAAGAGTGCCGTGCAAGGCAACCTTATCAGACTAAGTTTGCTTCTTTGGGAGGTGGAGAGCATATAAACCAGTGGAAAGAATGGAAAAATAAAGCCTTCTAGTCCTATCCTGTCTCATCCCTTTCACATTGCCCCTTAAACCAAAATTGTTTCCCCGCTGCCAAATTGGTTTTAGGGATAAAAGTATTTTTTACAGGTGTGATAGCTCATGCCTGTAATCTCAGCACTTTGGGAGGCCGAGGCAGGCAGATCACCTGAGGTCAGCAGTTCAAGACCAGCCTGGCAAACATGGTGAAACCCTGTCTCTACTAAAAATACAAAAATTAGCTGGGCATGGTGGCAGGTGCCTGTAACGCCAGCCATTAGGCACAAGAATTGCTTGAACCTGGGAGGCAGAGGCTGCAGTGAGTCGAGAACACACCACCGCACTCCAGCCTGGGTGTCAGAGTGAGACTCTGTCTCAAAAAAAAAATTTTTTTTTTTTTTGTATGAATAATATTACTTGGCACATCATTAAGGATTTTTTTTTTTTTTTTTTTTTTTTTTTTGAGATGGAGTCTCGTCCCCCAAGCTGGAGTGCAATGGTGCAGTATCAGCTCACTGCAACCTCCGCCCCGGGGTTCAAATGATTCTCCCACTTCAGCCTCCTGAGTAGCTGGGATTACAAGCACCTGCCATCATGCCTGGCTAAGTTTTGTATTTTCATAGAGACGGGGTTTCACCATGTTGGCCAGGTTGGTGTTGAACTCCTGACCTCAGGTGATCTGCCCACCTTGGCCTCCCAAAGTGTTGGGATTACAGGCATGAGCCACTGCACCCGGCCAAAGATTCTGCACTACAAAAGAGAAACCTGACATGCCAGTGCCCCAATTCTGTATTTCCATGAATGGCATGGAGGACATAATATTATAACGTCTATTCTTGCATTACTATAAAGAAATACCTGAGACTGGGTAATTTATAAGGAAAAGAGATTTGATTGGCCCACAGTTCTGCAGGCGGTACAGGAAGCATGGTGCTGGCATCTGCTTCTGGTGAAGCCTTAGGAAGCGTAGAATTATGGTGGAAGGTGACGGAGAGCCAGCATATGACTTGGTGGGAGTGGGAGCAAGAGAGTGCTAAGGGGGAGGTGTCAGACTCTCTTAACATAACCATATTTCATGTGAACTGAGTGAGAGCTCACTTATCACCAAGGGGAAGATGCTAAACATTCATGAGAGATCCTCCCCGATGAGCCAGTCACCTTCTACCAGGCCCCACCTCCCACACTGGGAACCACATTTTAACATGAGATTTGGAGGGGACAAAAATCCAAACTGTATCAAACATGAAACTGCATTTCACATCCTACCATAAAAACCTTGTTTTGGGGTGAGGAAGTGGCTGTAAGAAGTGAAGGATGACTGCCTCGTTTCTGGTTTGGACAACTGCATTGGAATGTCTGTGGGACATGGAATTGGTGATACAGGTGTAGAACCTAAGACAGGTGGCCTCGGCTGGAGAAAGAAATCAGGAGGTGGTCATGGAAGCCATGGGATTAGATGAGTTTACTTATGTTGAATACCACCTGAAAAAGGAGCGTAAAACAAAACTGCGGGGCACCCATGAGGAATGGGCTGAAGAGGGAAGATACTGAGGAGGATGGACACCACGAGAAAAATAAGAAACACATAATGACATGATTGTTTCATGAAAAAGGGAGTGGTCAACACTGTCGAACACAAGAGAAGTGGAAATAACTAACGAGCTACTACAGGAAGAAAGCCACAAATGAAGGAAATAATTTGCCAAGTTACTTTCTCTGTATGCCTTAGATTCTTGGTAAAAAGAGCACCTCCCTCATGGGGTGGTTGTGCGGGCAAAATTACCTAATGAATGAAAACCACTTAGAACGGTGCCTGGCATGCCTGGCACGCCCTCAGTAGAGGCTCGCTCTTTTATTGCAGTTGACTGGGCAGGTGATGCCATCAGGTTAAAGGTGTTCTGTTTTATTTAAGGACAGTAGAAAACAAGGCCTGAAAATAAGCCTGCTGATACCAAGATTAAAATTTGCCTATAAAAATGGGGTAGTAGAGATTTTCTATTTATGATTTTAAATCATTCAGGACTTTTGATGCTCATAATTCTTTAACCATTTCAGAACTGATTGATGCATTTATGCTGCTACAACAGAATCTTACTAGCTGACTGTATTCGTGTATAGGGTGGCCATAACAAAGCACCATAGTCTGTATGGTTTCAATAGCGGGAATTTATCGTCACAGTCCTGGAGCTGGAAGTCTGAGATGGAGATGTGGGGAGGGTTGGTTTCTTTTGAGGCCTCCCTTCTTGGCTTGTAGGTGGCTGTCTTGTCCCTGTGCCTTCATATGGTCTTTCTTCTGTGCATGTCTGTGTCCCAATTTCTTCTTATGAAGACACTGGTCATGTTGGATTTGGGTTCACCCGTATGACCTCATTTTTCTTTATCACCTCTAAAGGCCCTGTCTTCAAATACAGTCATAGTTGAGGTATTGGGGCTAGGACTTCAGCATATGAATTTGGTGGGAACACAATTCAGCCTGTAAAAGTCACTTATGAGAAGAGTTTAGTGTTAGCCTCTGAATGAGTCCGAATTTAATGTTAATTTTGAGTGAGTCTAAATTTAATGTAAATTCTGAGTGAGTCAGAATTAGTGGGTAAAAATTTGAGACCTCACTTTTTAATGGGCACACAAGGAAGAAGGTGCATTAACAGGTATCTTGTCAGGTCAGGCTGGATGTCATTTTAACTCCTAACAATTTATAGCAGCAGCCAGGCAAGCAAAAGTCAATCTGGAGATACACTGCCTGCCTAAATAGAAACACTTAGGTCAATACTATAGCTTTCAAAAGCGAAGGTGTGCCCTGGGTGTGGTTAATCCATAAGAAATTTTAAAACCACAAGCTTTTTCCTCTACAGTCTACCCTTCTACCAACATAATTTTATGCATACTTGGGGATGCCAATTTTTTCTTAAAACATTAAAAGGCCGGGTGCAGTGGCTCACGCCTGTATTCCCAGCACTTTGGGAGGCCAAGGCGGGCGGATCACGAGGTCAGGAGATCAAGACCATCCTGGCTAATACGATGAAACCCCGTCTCTACTAAAAATACAAAAAATTAGTCGGGTGTGGTAGCGGGCGCCTGTAGTCCCGGCCACTCTGGAGGAGAATGGTGTGAACCTGGGAGGCGGAGCTTGCAGTGAGCGGAGATCGCGCCATTGCACTCCATCCAGCCTGGGTGACAGAGCGAGACTCCGTCTCAAAAAAAAAAAAAATAATAATTAACTAAAAGAAAACATAAGTAGGAAACAGCTTTGTTGGCTTTTGTCCCCTCTAAACCTGAATGTATTGCTTCTGAACTGCTCAGAATGTGGTTTCTGTTGTAATGAAGGTGTACCGGCTTACACGTTCACTGCACACATTAAGCACTGGGAAGAAAACAGTAGGCAAAGAGGTGGGTTTTTCCTCCTTGTCTTGTAGGCATGTCGGGGAGACCAGCACGATGTGCCAGTCATTCCTTTGGATGAAGTAGATAATCAGACAGACAAGCTGGACACCAACATAACTGAGGTAGATGCAGCCTCCGTTTACACGTTGCCTGCTGGAGCTGACTTCCTTATGTGTTACTCCGTTGCAGAAGGTGTGTGGTGTTTAAAACAAACATATAATTACCTCTCTTGGCTAAGGTCCTGTAAGTTTCACCTTTGATTGGTTTGGGTCAGGTCTTTCTGTTGGGACAGAGTGATTCCATCCTGAAGCTCTCAGACTTATAATTTTCTTTGACCACATAGCACAGAGTGATAAATGAAAGTGTAAAATACCTTACAGAAAAATCATTCCTCAGAGTTGTATTGAGTAAAACAGCAAGTCTAATTATATTAACATTAGCCTACCATCATTTACTGAGGGTGGTAGTGCCATTGTGGTAATTGTCCTGGAAAGCTTTATTTTATTTTTTTTTTTTTTGAGACAAGGTCTTACTCTGTCACTGAGGCTGGAGTGCAGTAGCATGATCATGGCTCACTGCAGCCTCAATTTTGAGAAACTGAGCCTCAGCCCCCCTGTAGCTGGGACTATGGGCATGCACCACCATGCTTGGCTAACTTTTTAACTTTTCTGTAGAGACTGGGTCTTTCTGTGTTGCCCAGGCTGGTCTCAAACTCCTGGGCTCAAGTGATCCTCCAGCCTTGGCCTCCTAAAGTGCTGGGATTACAGGTTTGAGCCATTGCACTCAGCATTTTTTTTATATATATATATATATGTATATATAATATGTATTACACATATATGTATATATGTATTATATGTGTATAAATATGTATTATATATGTATATATGTATTTATTACATATATATTATATATAATATATATGTGTATATATATTACATATATATGTGTGTGTGTGTTTGTCTTTTTTTCTTTGGGAGAGTTTCACTCTGTTGCCCAGGCTGGAGTGCAGTGGTGCAATGTTGGCTCACTGCAACCTCTGCCTCCTGGGTTCAAGTGATTCTCCTGCCTCAGCCTCCCGAGTAGCTGGGAATACAGGTGCCTGCCACCACACCCAGCTAATTTTTGTAGTTTTAGTAGAGACGGGGTTTCACCATGTTGGCCAGGCTGGTCTCGAACTCCTGACCTCAAATGATCTGCCTGCTTCAGCCTCCCAAAGTGCTGGGATTACAGGCATGAGCCACCATGCCCAGCTGAAAAATATTTTGATAATGGTTCTTTGCTTTCGTAGTAAATAATTTTGTTTGACTTCTTTTTAGTAATCTCATGTCTCAGTCATTGTCTATCTTGGGAATTTTTTAGGAAATGGAGGAAATTATATAGAAGTAACTCCATATATATAAAACTATACAGAATTAATCTCTTTTCCCATTTGAGAAGAGTCAAAAAAAATTTAAGCCATATATATCATGGACACATCTTAAGACTCTTCTAAGCATTTTTAAGAACTTACACTTCTGTAACTATAAAGAATACACACAGTGATTGAAAGCCAGAAAACTGCAGCAACATTTTCCTTCTCACTTTTTTAGGATATTATTCTCACCGGGAAACTGTGAACGGCTCATGGTACATTCAGGATTTGTGTGAGATGTTGGGAAAATATGGCTCCTCCTTAGAGTTCACAGAACTCCTCACACTGGTGAACAGGAAAGTTTCTCAGCGCCGAGTGGACTTTTGCAAAGACCCAAGTGCGATTGGAAAGAAGCAGGTTCCCTGCTTTGCCTCAATGCTAACTAAAAAGCTGCATTTCTTTCCAAAATCTAATTAACAGGGGCTATCTTATTTTACAATTTAATCTATTGAAAATGTCTTTCTCGGCCAGGCGTGGAGCGCACACCTGTAATCCCGGCACTTTGGGAGTCTGAGGCGGGCGGATCACCGGAGGTCAGGAGTTCGAGACCAGCCTGACCAACATGGAGAAACCCCGTCTCTACTAAAAATATAAAAAAAAATTTAGCTAGGCCTGGTGGCGCATGCCTGTAATCCCAGCTACTTGGGAGGCTGAGGCAGGAGAATCACTTGAACCCAGGAAGGGGAGGTTGTGGTGAGCCGAGATTGCACCATTGCGCTCCAGCCTGGGCAATAAGAGTGAGTGAAACTCCGTCTCAAAAAAAAAAAAAATGTCTTTCTCTTCTTTTTATATAAATATCGTTAGGCTGAAGCATTATGGTCCAATGATTCAAATGTTTTAAAGTTTAATGCTCAGCAGAGAACTGCCTTTAAAAAAAAAAAAAATTCATGTTGGCCATGGTGAAAGGGTTTGATATGCAGAAACAAAATCCTCAGGAAATTAGGTAAATAAAAATTTACAAGCATTAATAAACTGCAGGGTTACATAAAAATCTAGCTGATTTAACTTGTATTTTGTTACTTTTTTTATAAAAGTTTATTGTTTGATGTTTTTAAAGGTTTTTGAAATCCAGGAATTAAATAATTATCCCTTAATAAAATATTTGAAATTCATATTTTACTACATTTTTCTAATTCGCATTCTTGTTCATTTGTGTAACTGATAGATATTTTTTACTCGGTCATATAAATGTTTAATATTTCATCTACATATGAATTACCACATTTTGTGTATGACTTTAATTCCTACTTTTAAAAAAATCAGCATTCCAGAATTGTTATATGGCATTCTGAGGATGAAATAGAAAACACGATAATTCTTAGCCACTACAGGCTGAACACCTGCAAAATCGGATTCTGTCAGCATCTTCCATGTTAAGTTCCTACAAACAGTCCAACAGTCATCAGACCCATTCACACATGATCACATTAATAGAATAACAGGTGTTACTTTCAAGGTTCAATTCATATTAATATGATGTAGAATCTGGGTAATACTGTTTTGTTAATAATCTGCCAGAGGCTGAAGAAGGTTAACTGTTTCGGCTTCAATACCTGAAACTTGTGATTTGCAGGTTCAAAAGCAATCGTTTATATGCACTGTTTCAGGTGAAGTTGGTACCTGCTATACTTTATGGTTGGTGGAACATTTATGCCTTTTTGATAAATGATAAAAAGATCTTACTCCCAACTATTGCATATTAAAAAAAGAAGTTAATGATATGATGATTCCGTGGGAGGTTGAGGCAGGAGGGTTGCTTGAGCCCAGGAGTTTGATTTGGTGAGACCTAGTCTCTAATTTTTTTAAAAAAAGATGATTCCAAATTAAGTCTAAGAATGAAAGTGAATGCCAAGCACATACCCTTTCACCTTCACATAGAGAACATGGGACAAGCTGACAAGGATTTTTAGCTAACAGCAGCCACTGTTGCTTTGATAGACGCATACAAGCCCTTTCTAACATTAGCAAGTCTTAAAAATCCAAAAAGTAAAAATCTTAGTTGAGAACTTCAAACAATACTTCTGTTTTACAAGAATTTAATAACAAAAAAAAGATTGAACAATCAAATTGAAATGAACCATGGGACTCAAAAACATCCTAAGTTGCAAAATCAATACAAAATGGAAAATCCGATGACATTTAAAAACGTAAGATTAATTCTTTTCATTGAGTTCTTCTACTTGCATTTGCAAATAGAGAGAATGGCGCACCTGTTTCAGGGATTCTTTAGCCTGTCATGGGAAAAAGAAATAGCATGTGATCAGAAAGAATGAGAAACATACCAATGTTACTGCTTGAAAGGAATTCTATAAACAACGTTTCCTTACAGCAATAAAATGTTTAAACTATTAGTGACAAATGCTAAAATATTTCTTTTTTTTTTTCTTGAGATGGGTTTCATTCTGTCACCCAGGCAGGAGTGCAATGGTACCATCTCAGCCTACTGTGACCTCTGCCTCCCTGGTGCAAGTGATTCTCCTGCCTCAGCCTCCCAAGTAGCTGGGACCACAGGTGCCTACCACCATGCCTGCCTAATATTTTTTGGTATTCTCTGTAGAGAGGGAGTTTCGCCATGTTGCTCTGGCTGGTCTTGAACTCCTGGACTCAAGTGATTTGCCCACCTTAGCTTCCCAAAGTGATGGGATATAAATATTTCAATATTATATGTGGATCTTTTTAAAAGATGAGTTTACTAATTCATCCTTATGTATTTAAAAAAATAATAGTTGATGGGTGCTGACGAGTTTATGGGTGCAGCACACCAACATGGCACAAGTATACATGTGTAACAAACCTGCACATTATGCACACGTACCCTAGAACTTAAAGTATAATAAATAAAAAAAAAAAAAGGTTTAAAACAACCAAACCAAATAATAATAATAATAATACTAGTTTATCCCCTTTATAATGGTTTTCCAGTTCATATTCTTTAAAAAACTCTTAACCTACCACTTTATCTTTTTATCTCCACTTTATTACCTTAGAGATAATTAACAAGGTGTTAAATATTTAAAAAAATTTTTTTAGAGATGGGGTCTCACTCTGCTTCCCAGGCTGGAGTGCAGTGGTGTTATCATAGTTCACTGCAGTGTTGAACTCTTGGGCTCATGGGATCCTCCTGCCTCAACTTCCCAAGTAGCTAGGACTACAAGCATGTGCCACCATGCCCAGCTAATTTAAAAACAAATTTTGTAGAGATGAGGTCTCACTATGTTGACTAGGCTGGTCTCCAATTTCTGGACTCCAGAGATCCTCCCACCTCAGCCTCCCAAATCGCTGGGATCACACTAGGCTTACCTTCTAAATCTCAAAGGCACTGTCCTATAAACTAGCTGAAAGAACATTCCTTAGCCTTCTCAGGATTATTCAAATATAAGGGAATCCGCAAAATTTTTTTAAAAGCATTATATTTTTCCTATAGAATGATTATATGAAATAAAATACATTTTTTTAAAAGGCTTGGCCAGACATGGTGGCTCACACCTGTAATCCTAACACTTTGGGAGGCTGAGGTGGGCGGATCACTTGAGGTTAGGAGTTTGAGACCAGTCTGGACAACATAGTAAAACTCCGTCTCTACCGAAAATACAAAAAAAGTAGCCAGGCATGGTGGCAGGCGTGGTGGCAATCCTACAACACACAGAAATCTAGGACCAAGATTTAATTTGTGAGGATGAGCCACCAATTGTATTTCCCTGATACTAAGTTCAGGCTCCCAAACAAACCAGCTATAAGATGTATTTGTAGTATACCTTAGCAAGGTCTTCTTTTAACTTGTTGTATTGCTCCACATCAAAATGCTGTTGCTTTGATTTCTTGTGGAAGAACTGAAGAAATTGCCTACTCTTAACAGCTGAGTAAGTATAATCCTTAAAAAAAAAAAAGAGAGAAGAAAATAACATGTTCTGAATGAACATAATGCCTCTGCAAGAAGGATACTTGACTCAGCAACACCAAAGCAAAAGAAGGCAGATGAATGGGTAAAATATTTGCAATGGCCATGAGAGTAAGCATAAGCCAACACAAATAAAACATTTAGTCTCATTTAAGATCTGCTGCTCCTTTCAAACACAGGCAAGCTGGGAGAAATTACACATAATGGGAAAGAAGAAGGAAGAAAAAAGAAAAGGGAGATTTTTGGCATACTGAATAAACCATGAGACAAAGCTGATATTACTGAATGTTTTGCAATGCAAATTCAGTTTTATTTATAAATGAGGGCACAGAGAACACATGTTTATCCCAATGGAGGAATCTGTGTGTTACACTAATTACTTCTCCATAGAAGTTATATATAATTTCTCTGTGTTGTAAGTCTTCATCCAGTCTTGTGAAAAACAATACATTTACCAGCTCATAAAAACCCAGATGGCAGTAATTCAGTAAATAAAAAGGCTTTATTGCTCATTGCTTAGATAAGAGATTCTTTGCAAAGATGTTCTAACTTACCATTTTCCTAACAAACTACTCACCTGTCGAGTGACTAAAAAGTATGCAAAAAAGACCATAGAATTTGCAAACGTGATGAAGTATGTAACCGGTTCCATGATATCCCAGGAGTACACCCACCACGTGAGCCAGGCTAGTGCCCCACCCTGAATGGACAGCAGTGCCAATCCAGCCCACAGGAGTCCGCTGGTTTTGGCTTCCGAATGAGCTGCTATTCCAGCTTTCACCTGAGGGGGAATGAAAAACTTAATTCCGTTTACAAATACACCAACTAAAGGGACAAAAAGCAAGATGAAAAAGAACTCTTAAACAAATGCACATCTGTATTACTTTGAAGAGGTCAGATATATGGAAAAACAATTTATAAAACATATACATGAATTAGTAAATACTCATTACCATATCAGCTCATTAATCTTTTTAAAATTATAAAGGTAGTAACTGCTCTTGGAAAAATGAATAGTATAGAAGAGTATACAATGAAAAACTCAGAAGTCTTCCTCTGAGACCCAAATAAAATTAGAGGCCTACTTGACTCAGCAATTCCACTTCTAAGAAATCATTCTGAAAATATATCTGCATACACAAAACCCATTACAGATGCATTCTTAAAAGCAGAAGTCCAAACACAATCCATATGCCCATCAAGATGTTACACAACTGTAATGAAGCTCTGTGCCAATAAGGGGAGATTTCTATAATACGCTGAAAAAAGATGAGAATAGTGCATAATAGTGTGCTTCCTTTTCTGAGAAAAACAACAAGAAAATATTTGTATTTGTTTGTACACAGATAAAGGAAATCTAAAATGATTCATAGGTGTGAAGAATGTAGTAACTGGGAGGATAGGGTGGGAGGAAAACTTTAGATTTTTAAATTTTAATCCAAGTAAATATATTACAAGTAAAGAAAAAACTAAAATGGTAAACAATCAAAAAAATAAAACAAGTCCCTCTCTCTGACATTCTCCAAATACCCTTAGAGGTCATTACTATTAAAACTTCCTTACATCTCCAGAAACTTTCCATTCATATTGAGAGATGCACATAGACCTTTCCATTTAAATAAACATCACAAATGGGATTATAAGTCTAAAGAATGCAATTCTTTCCTTTGAAACAAACACATTTCCCCAGCTATCCCCCCAAATCAAAGTTATTGTTTCCACACCATTGATTAACTTTAGATGCTAGTTATTACCAACTTTCCAGCTGCAATTCTGTTAGGCGGAGTAAGGGCTCTGGGCCTATTCTCTAAAAAAGGAAAGGGAGGTAGGACTCCAGCTAGTGCTTCCCTGCTCATATGCACTTATTTACAGAGACATTACGACTGATCTCTGGAGAGGAAGCATGGCATAGAGTTTAAGATGGCAGCTCTGAACACAGGTCACGTGAGCTCAAGTCCAGGCTCTACATGTATTAGCGATATACCTCTGTGGCTCAGTTTCCTCATCTGAAAAAATGAGGAAGATAGAAGTCCTGAACTTACAGGTTGTTCGTGAGGAGTAAAGGAGAAAATTAGCATATGGAAAGCATTCAGAAAGATGCTCACATGAGGAGCACTCAATAAACACTAGGTATTATTTTCAAATATGCTCAACCGTGATGCTTCCTAACCTCTTCAAGGGGCTGCAGCTGTTCCTTCAGGTGGTCAATTTTCTCCAGTAAATGGTACTCTCTCTTTTTCTGAGACTCTTCTAAATGCAAGATTGTAAATAGTCTATGAGCCAAGGATTTCATGTGTTCCATCTCAGCAGTGTGCTCATTACTTGGTTTTTCTGAGAAAAGACACAAGGGAAACAAGCCAGTCACCATATTGTTCCTGCAGGGTGTGTAAGTCTTTCTGTCCCCAGTTCTCTTTCCAAATATTATTTTAGGATCCACAGGGTAAGGAAGCTGGTGTACAAACATGTAAACAAAGGTGTAATATACATTTCAAAAGCAGTTCAAGAGTATGTTCTTTTCAACAAAGAGTGTCACAGTAAACAACAAAGTGTGGATCTGAAAGGCAGTTCATATACAAGGTAAAAAAAAAAAAAAGTCACCAAAAAACATGTCACTTTGGCATAAGGATTATTATGAGCTGAAGGCAACTGAAAATAAGCAGACACAAGAAAGGCTCTCTGGCCTCTCCCTATTTGCCCAAAAGCAGGACACAAATTTTACAAAGACCCCTCTACCAGAAAGAACAAAGGTAGATCACCAGAGACAACTTTAGACTCTTTTCAGCTTAGAGATTGCACCAGAGGAATCTACATGACAAACTTTAGTAGCTTTTAACTACCTTTAACCAACTTATTTGCTCTTCCACAATCTGCTGCCCCCAGAGATTCAAGGCCCTTTTCCTTTGTCTTGTCACAACTCTAAAAATGTATTGTTCTTTGTAGAAGATGCTCTGTCAGCTGAGGTTCAGAGCCACCTCTTTGAGAATTACTCATTCCTTGGATACCTCCCATGTGTCTATGAAACATACACATTAATAAGCTACTGTTTGATTTTTTGTTAGTAATCTCTCTTATTACAGGGGTCCATCCCAGCTAAGAACTAAGAGTAAAGGGAAAATTATTTTTCAACTCTTACAGGAATTACGGTTTCAGAGTTTTTAATATAAAGTTCTCTTGATTATAGACTTCCCTCATCCCACCTTCTCTATGGGTTTATAAGGTCCATATAAAATTACGCTCAGCCTATGAGAAGTCCCTCAGACTGATACCTTTCTGAGAGCTGTAATTGTTCATTATCACTGTAAGAGAACGTGAGGGAGGACAAGGTGAGAGGAAGGGAAGATGGACCTTCCCACCAGGTAGCAGCAAACAACTGCAGAAAAGAGAGACGTGTGTCTAGAGTCGGTATCAGTCCAGTGAGTTTTCCAGTTTGTGTCAGTAGTCCGGAAGTTATCAGTTGTTTGTGTCAGTAGTCCGGAAGTTATCAGTTGTTTGTGTCAGTAGTCCGGAAGTTATTTTTCTTCCATCATTACCCAATTCAAGACTGTTCTAGTCTTTACCCTCTTCCATAGTCTAGGCTATAGCTGCCATAGAGGGGTGAAAACTAGGTGTTCCCTTTTAGGCTTTGAGATCTGTAGAAGAGTCAGAGTCCTTTTGTTAATGAAAAGTGTATTGGTACGTAAAAGATCTATATACAGAGAAAAGGCATAGATGGGACAAAATTTTGTCCAAAACCGTGGAATATATAACAAAGATAGACAAAGCTGGGCACTAAAACAGCAAGGGTAAATTTTATTAATAACTATTGCAATAGGGTCCAGCGTGAACCGAACTCAACTTCAATTTGTGCAGAGATGACTGTTTTAAAGAAAGAATGACAGAATAGGCAGGGTGAACGGCAGGGGCTTGAACAGAGTCAGGGAAATGAAAATTTACAAAAAGTGGATAGTTGGTTAATGTTACTGGGCCATATGGGTTTAATTGGTAACTATCCAGAAGAGAAATAAACTTCTCATATCTTATGACAGGATGCAAGTCAGAGCCAGGCACCCACTGGTTGGGAGTAAGAGAGTTATGTCCTTGAACATTAGCATTTCAAAGAGAGACTCCCAAGAGAGGACAGGTCTGGGTGATAAAAAATTTATACCCCCAGGCCAGGTGAGGTGGTTCACGCCTGTAATCCTAGCACTTTGGGAGGTCGAGGTGGGTGAATCACCTGGGTTCAGGAGTTTGCGATCAGCCTGGACAACATGGTGAAACCCCATCTCTACTAAAAATACAAACATCAGCTGGGCATTGTGGTGCACACCTGTAGTCCCAGCTACTCGGGACGCTGAGGCAGGAGAATTGCTTGAACCTGGGAGGCAGAGGTTGCAGTGAGCCAAGATTGCACCATTGCAATCCAGCCTGGGCAACAGAGAGAGACTCTGTCTCAAAAAAAAAAAAAAAAAAAAAAGTTCTGGTGAGGGCTCAGAAGTTCTTTGCAAGTCCGTAACAATAATGGTGTTTATTCCAGCTTCCAATAAGATATTCCTCATTTCAAAGAGCTTATCAGATTGGCCTTTACCATATATATATTTTTGGATTTTTAGTAGAGACAAGGTTTCACCATGTTGGCCACACTGTTCTCAAACTCCTGACCTCAAGTGATCCACCTGCCTCAGCCTCCCAAAGTGCTGGGATTACAGGTGTGAGTCACTACGCCCAGCCTACCATCGATATTTCTACCAACATTCTGATCATGACCACTTAAGTAAATCTCTAAAAACGTTCAGACTTCCTGCAGCTATTCTCTTCCGAGCCCTTACCAGAATTGTCCTTAACACTCTGTTCATGGCAATATAGGCTATTTCTAGTTTGCTCTTCCAAACTCTTCCAGCCTTTGCCCATTACCAAATTCCAAAGCCACTTCCACCTTTTCAGATATTTCTTATAGCCCCACTCCTGGTACCAATTTTCTGTCTTAGTCTATTTTCTGCTGCGACAGCAGAATATCACAGACTGGGCAACTTACAAAGAACAAAATTTTATTTCCTCACAGTTCTAGAGTCTGAGAAGTCCAAGACCAAGGTGTTGGCATATCGGTGAGAACCTTCTTGCTGCATCATCCCATGGCAAAAGGGAGGCAGAGAGAAAGCAAGTGTGTATGCGCAACAGCACAAGAAGGGGCCAAACTCATCCTTTTGTAAGGAACCTACCGCCATGATAACCTCTCCAGTGAAAATGGCATTAATCTATTCATTAGGGCAGTGCCCCCGTGAGCCAAACACCTCCCAATACACCTCACATCCCAACACTACAACACTGGGGATCAAGTTTCCAACACATCAACTTTGGGGAACATACCCAAAGTACAGCATTGCTCTAAAGATGACGTTCTATGGCTTATTGACCTATCACCAGGTTTTGGCTGGAATAAACAGTAAATTTTCCAGATGGTACTGAGCTTTCTCAGACAGGCATTCTAAGAAAACCAGAGTTGTCATCCAAACAATGTGGCCTTGAGCTATTAGAAACTATGCAAATGTTCATTCAAGTCTCTTAGTGTGTGTGGTGTGAGGGGGGCAATGTTGACAACATTTGTGCTGAGAGTTTACAGTTTTTATAGGCCATGGTTAACGCCTAGTTGAGAAGAGGGTTCTGAGGAACCTGACTGAAGTTTAGTCAAGGTGAGGGTCTTTGTCAAGTGGCATGAAATGTTTATCTGAGTTCAACACTGAGTGCCCTTGGCTGCCACCACAGAATTCATGTGTTACACTACCAACCTAAACTGACTCATAATATTTGTCTGTGGCACCTCCTAATAAAGGCCAAAAATGAGAGATAATTATTATTTTCCTTTTCTTCAGAAGCTTATTTCTCATACATGTGTCTTCCGTGTGAACTTAATTTTCATACCCCAAATTTTCAAATCCAAATTTGCAATGTATTAGGAATATTTTAGTTAAATGGAGTTTAAATAACTTTTTTGAAAACTCCAAATTTGTAATTTTATAAATTTCATTTTCAGTGAATCCAGTGTGATTCCTCTGCCATTGTTTTCCTTCCAACTATACCTGCTGTGTCCCTGTTTACTTCATACTCTGAGACTTGGCAAGTCTGATACAGTTTTCATAAGCTGAGGTTCCAGGGAAACCTGGGCTCACTGACCTCCCATCTCCAGGGAGGCTTCTACCCTAGGAGCTCAATTCCAACAAACAGCCCTTCCAGGCAGCAAGCGGGGTTTTCTAATGAGCAGGCAGGAGTGGGGAGGTTGTGCTTTATCCCACGTGGACCTAAGGCTTATGGTCCATGTGGTGGTTTGAGGGTTAGGAAGGTCATGTAGAGCAACGGGATGGCCTGTAAACATCTTTTTCCACTTGTTTGTTCATACATGCAACCCAAAGAACAGCAAGTGAAAGACCTTCCAGGGAGTTAGGAACTCACTGGACATGAAAGTTGTGTAATATCTTAACAGGGATTTCCACTTCTATATTTTTCAATTTCTGTCACCCTCTCTTTGAAGTTAAATACTGCCCTGATGTTAAAAGAGAATTCAGAATGGAAGAAAGTCAGTGTTGAAATAAGTGATTCATTTTAACTTCTTTATTCTTCTTTGTATTTGAAAATCCCATATAATGTTCAAATATACAATTAAAATTTTTAAAAATTATTTTTATTTGAGGGGTCCTCAAAGAAATGGCTGACAAAAGTGACAGGACATGATAGTTGGTACAAGATCAACCTGGATCATATTTCTATACCAAAAAGTAAGAAAGTACTTACAACAAACGGGGGAGAGGGAGTAAGTGACAAAGACAGAGGAGTCACTGGTGTTCAAACTGTACACTGTATGGCTAGCTGGAGCTGCTTCAAGCTGGAGGACTTTTTTAAAAAGCAATTTCTTACTTAAATTCCCTCCCTGTTGATGGCTCTTGCCTCATCTAGAATTTGGCTGCAAAATGATGATTTTCCACCTCCAGAAACTCTCCCACATTTACCAGTAGATGCTCAGCACCTCACTGTAAGTAAGAGCCTTCTATTATTTGTTGATCTATTTATTTTATTACCAGTTTATTAAGGCATAGCCTTATGAATTTCTTCCTCCTACCCTTAACAGTGTATAATTATAGCTTACTGGGAGAAGACGCCTCAGAAGCCAATACTAGCTGGAATTCTTAAACTGTAATTGGTGAATTGCTGGACACTCAGTGTGAACTAGCATTGAAGGAAAAACTCCCACACTTTCATGAGTTTTATCTCCTGGAACCTTACCAGGTTCTCACAGTGAAGATCAGAGATCAGAGAAAAATACTGTCTCTGCTTTGGGCAGGAGGAAAGGAAAAATAACCATT